TCAGTTGTTTATAGTCAAATCGAAAGCTATGGCAGAGCACGTCTTTTACCTGGGCAGCCACACATGAGTGACTTGAGGGGAAAACTGCCACACTGCCATTGAACTTTGTAATGCATGTCAACAATGCACACAATTAGAGATGATGGCTATTTATCTCTTTGGGGATTTTAAAACCATGGCTTATTTGTCTTTAAGGAAACTTTGTTCCTAGATGAATCCATAATTATGATAGTACTGTGTTCAGTTAAGCTGGACTTTGAAAATTGCTTCCATTCCATTCCATTCCATTTAAGTTGACATTACATAGCTTACTAGGTGCCAAGAATTAGGAACAAGACAAATTCTTTGCCCTCAAAATTTATAAAGTACTTGTTTTTAAAATTATTGACATCTCAGCATTTTAACAACCACAAGCCAAATGTATTTGTCACAAGTGATAAAAAATTAATTTATTTTTTCTTGTCATATAAGAAATTATAATTTCCCAGAACTTTATTAGTCAAATTAAGAAAAAAGCTGTGTGTGGGGGGGGGGCATCTGCATTCTCCAATCATACAGCATGATAGTGATACCAATTATAATATAACTAAAATGTATTCAAAAGTTTCTATGTGCTAACTATGGAGCTTCACATATATTAACGTTTAATTGAATTTCCAAATATAAAAGTCAGGGTCACACTTTTTTTCACACCTGCATCTTCAGGGCACAAGAAAATGAATGGTAAATATTTGTTAAAAAATAAGAATATAAACAAATGAAAAATGGGGACATTTCTATTTAGTACATTGGTCATCTTCAGGCAACCTACTGTTTGTTTAGGGGAAATATACACACACACTGGTAATTGTCATACTGAATGTATAAAATAATAGAGCTGAAAATAACCTCAAAAAAGGTCTCAGCCTAGAATGTAGCTCGGTGGCAGAGCACATGCCCAGCATGCACAAGGGCCTAGGTTCAATCCTATCATCACAAACACACACACACACAAACATTTTATGTATGTATTCACTGGCTGGATGACCTCTGACAAGTGGCAGTCTCTTCCTGAACTGTAAATTTTATCAAAAGTTTGAGAGTAATAAGTCCCTTACAAAATTACATAAAATGAATAAACTGCTCCTAGTATTGTGCCTGGATCTCAATAAATGGTTCATGTTATTATTCTTTTTGATACCACTGTGAGTGTAGAAATTTAAAAGCTTTTTGTTTTAGGAACTTATCAAACTATCAAGATTATCTTAATTCTTTGCTTTCTGTAGATACTACCAAAAAGTCAGTTATATTCATGTAAACTGGACTCTATGATGACAGCTAATGAAAAGGTAGTCCAAAAAACATGCACAGTATACAAAAACCAAAAGTCATAGGTGGATGGACAGTTTTAATCATTGTTAATAAAGGGTACGACCTATGGCAACATTAAAAGAAAGTTCAAATTAACTTTTGAAAGATACATTTGTGAATTTTACAAAAAAAGTGAATTTTACAAAAAAAATAAGGATTATTATGATCACTGAATTATGATATATACATCATCAAGTTATAAAGACCACAGGACATTTTGTGCCACAGGTCAATCAACATTTCAGCTGAAAGCTGAAAACTTGCTTTATTTTTCTCCTGAGTAATAATAAACTCCTCACATCACATAATTTTAGGGAAAAAACATTTGATTAGGCCTAGTTCTCCTGCCTACAGGCCAGCTATGACATTTTGAGACATAATTCCATTTTGGCCCCCGGTCAATCCTACTTTACTTAATTGTTTCTTACATTTCTCTGACAAGAATGTAAACTCTATGAACTAAAACTCCTATGAAGGCAGAGATTTCCATGTGTTTTACTCATTGCTGAATTGTCAGTTCCCAATACCTGAACCACAGACGGTGTTGAATGCACAGCTGTGGATTTGAATAAATGAAGACAGAAACTGAGGTTGTACAAGTTTTCAGAATCAAAGGGAAATCACTTTGCCAAGCCTTTATAAAAATAAATAATAATGGAGTGGGAAACTATAAAGGAGAGGATTTTGTGCATGCATGCCTGATGACAGAACTATTCACAAAAGACTCTGCCAGAACCACAACTTGCACAAAGGCCACCACAACCTTAACACAAAGAATATTCGGCAAGGATGTCTGTCCCACAGTTGTTTAACACTGTATTGCTACAAGCCTTGTCACTAATCCTCATGTCCAAAATCTATTATTTCAAAATAACTTACATAATCCTTCTCATTTTCCTTTAAAAACTTCCCCTTGCCTCAATATTTTTAATATATTTGAAAACATTTCTAGTTTATGATAGCATGTAACTCCTCATTGCAATGTTCCACTACTCCCAAATAAACTTGTTACTCTTAGAATATTTCTCCTTATGTTATTTAGGCTGACAAGGCTCAGAAAGATTAAGTGTTGTATATTTAGCTGATAAGTGGCTAAACGAGCCAAGTTATTCCAGTGCTTCCAAACCCTTATTCAGGGCTCTCTCTCAGAGTCAGTCTCTCTCTCTCTCTCTCTCTCTCTCTGTCTTTGAAATCTGTCCTTTCTACCAGCAACCGTAAAAACGACTAAGCAGTATTTTCAAAAGTGTGATAATCTATACGCACTGTTTAAAGGTTTCTGGCATATTTTGTTTGAGCTGCTTCTAGAACTTCTATTGTAAAGGGGAAATTTTTTTTAATTCAAAATTCCACAACCTCGAAGAACCTATAAAAGAAAAGTTAGCAATTTATAAACAGTTAAACTATACAATGCCATTACCCTGAATCTAGCTTGAAAAGCACTTTAAGATAGGCCACACAAAGCCTAGTTTCGAATGAATTGAATTCTTACCGGTATGATGCCTCCTTTAAAAGTAAGGGCTGCCCTGAGCAGGTCTGTTATTGAAGCAATTGAGAGGAAGTCAACAGGAGTCAAAATTTAGGGTCACTCTGGAATAGTACAAGACTGAGAGAAAAATCTGGGAACCACAAAAAAAGACAATCTAATGATAACTTTTCCTGAGGAAGTTGTAACATGTAACTTTTTACTAACTACTATTAATCGAATGTGCAAGAAGAATACAGACATTTTCAAATAATCAAAGGATCGAAATATTGACCATATACCCAGAATAGGATGTATGGTGACTTACTACTGAAAAATAAAAAGAGCAAGAAAGGAGGAAAACAGTGAGAATACTTTAGAGTGGTAAAAGGATGTCTGGGATGAAGTGTCCAGCAAACCCTGACAGTGATCAGCTTAGCTGGAACAAAAGATGGAGGAAATCTCTCGGGGGAAAGTACAGTTGATGAAATATGTAGTATAATCAGTTCTAAAATAAAGAGGCAAAAGTACAAGAATAAAGGAAAGGCAAATAGAAACTCCAAGGGAATAAAAAATAACATCTAAGGAAAAAAGTATAATCAGTATATTAACTGACTCTATCTAAATGATATTACTTACTAACAATATAATTTTACAACTCTTCAAGAGGAAAACTAAAGATATGATCATGGTTATAAATAAATAGAGTATAAATGCTGCATATCTTTTAAAAGATGAAAGGGAACAGGAAAAGAGAGCCAAAGTGGATTATAGATGGTAATACCATCATCTTACAAAGTGGGAAGCCAAACAAGGCTGTGGTTTACAAGAAAAGTAAAGGTGTAATGATACTAAGTTTAAAAGAAAACTATGGAGAAACTAACCCAGATATAGTGGAGCATGCCTGTAATTTCCCTACTCAGGAAGCTGAGTCAAGAGGATCATCCTGAGTCAGAGGCCAGGCTGAACTATATAGCAAGACTCTGTCTCAATTATTTGCAAGAATATTTGAAGAAGAGTGATATCTAAAATAAGGAACTAAAAGTGATTATACATGGAGGTCACGATTGAGGCTGAGATGAAGTACACACAAGATAGCTTTTTAATTATAAGCTTCTTGTTGCTATTCTCATTCTTAAAACAATGTACAGTATTATTTTAATGGAAGTAAATTCAAGCAGAGGGAGAGAATCTATTTGTGGCTTAGTCAAATCCTAAGTACACATGCATAGAAACTCATCTGTCCTGTTAGAAAAGTCTAAGTCCTTGTCTTGTAACTGTAAGTGCACTTTTTTTGACGTTACTAGTGAAGGGAGGAATATTACCTTATTTCCTGTAAAGATACAGCCATAGATTACAAGCTCAAATGACTTCTTATACCTAAAAGGAAATGTGCTAGGTAAAGATAAGAAAATAGAGATTTTTTTTTTTTGTAACTCTTACTTCAAAATCAGTGAGCTACAATGACTTAGTGGCTTATAGCCTCTTTCAGTGCTGATGACAGTTTAGAAGTTAACAAAAAGAAAATTACAAAGGCTTCCCTAGATGTTTAGCAGCTACAGCTGCACATTATTAGGCAGAAATGTTTAAGGCAAGCATCTGGGATTCATTCATGTCAATTGTTGCTCTTTAAAAGGGATATTCTTTATTTAAAGTATTAACCTTCTTTTAAAGACTATTTCAGAAAAAAATGAACATCCCTCCCATCCTATTCATTGCCAGCACTCCAGTTCAAAGTTTCAGCCTGCTCTAGGAAATTGAAAAGGAACTCCCTTCCTACATCCTAAGTATCTCTTCATTCCAGACACACAAGCTTCAGGACAGTCCCCAGGCTGAACAGCCTCTCCTGGATCCTCAAACTCACTTCCAGATGTGAGCCCCCAAGGTAGACAAACACATCCAGGCTTCCGGCCCTTTTCCAAATGACAGCCTCCAGAAAGATGAGTGTGGCAGAGACCTATTCCCGATTCCAGATGTGAACCACAGAGCACATGAATAAACTGAAACATGTTCTCTCCCTACCACATATAATCCCCTAAGCAAGACAGCCTTCTTATGCTCCTCCAGCAACACTCCACATTTTCTTGAGAAAGCTAAGTCTCCATAGATCAAAGTCTTATTTTCCTGTCTCTCATCAATTCTCTCTTCCTATTTTCCAATCTCAATCTAAAAAAATGAGGTTCCTCACTTGGGTCAAGGTGCTTATCTCTGGACACACTTTGGGGATTAGGTTATTCTGAAGGTTTAGAGTCTTCAGGCCAGGCAGTCTTCCTAATGTTGAGGGCATCTGTCATCTTCTTCCCATTCAAAGTAATGATCTTAGTGTTTTTACCACCCTTCAGTGCTCCTATTAACAATCTCTCAGCCATGATCTTAGAAAAAGGTAACCTGAGAGGTTAGAGTTCTTTTTATACATTTTTAGAACCTCTCCTTGCAGAATAGATGTGTCATGGGAACAAAAACATTCTGAGATCCACCAGGCTGAAGGCAAGAGGCATTAGATGGGTTCCTATGTAAAAGCTGGGGAGGGAAAAATAGGTCCAAGTTTGGGGAAGAATACATAAGACAAGTTTTGAATATTTTATGTCAGAGATAGGAAGTTATCAAAAACTAATGAGATTACATTAAAGGGACATAGAAGCCAACTTCTGAGAGTTCCCAGGAGTTTATGATGGGATGTATTGAGGACCAGGAAAAAAATAGAATAAATAGACTGAAACACACCAAAGCATACTAAAATCTAAGAGTTCATAGTGGTGGGCTTAAAAAAAAAATCTAATAGCTGTGGAAGTTGTTAAGGCACTAACACTGTTTAAAAATTGTTAAAGAGGGGCTGGGGATGTAGCTCAGTGGTTCTGCCACCTGCCTCGCAAGCACAAGGACCCAAGTTCAATCCCCAGTACCAAAAAAAAAATGTTAAAGAAACAATATAAAACATTTATTCTACTCTTACAGAACAAATTGAATTTCAGTATAATCTAATAGTTAATAAAATTCTTATTCATAGAGGAATTAAAGCTAGCAATTGAAGGCAAAATAGCTTTAGAAAATTCACTATTTTTGCAAATTCTAATGCAATAGATCTATGCAAAAATTGTAATTGGTTGTTAAAAGTATTAGTTGAGGGCTGGGGATTTAGCTCAGTGGTTCTGCCACCTGCCTCGCAAGCCCAAGGTCCTGAGTTCGATCCCCAGTACCAAATAAATAAATAAATAAAAATAAAATAAAAATAAATAAACATTTTTCAAAAAAAGTATTAGTTGAGTGATATGAAACTTTGTAAAGAAAGGATCAAGTTAATAACTTAACTCAATGATCAGTTTCAGCCATTATCAAAACCTAGACAATCACAAGATAAGCCTTATGAAGGGGTGTAATAAAAAGTACACACTACCACACAAAATGTTCTTGTCTTAAAAATTGAACCTGAACCTAATTGTGGCTTTGAGACCGAACTAACCATTTATTGAAAGTAAGAGAAGCAGAGAGCAACTTAAAATTCTCAGGAAAGAATGTGGTCAAATCTGGAACAGAAAATTCTATAAGGTAATGACATAAGTTTCATCAATGAATCACTGGCATTAATAAAAAGAGAAATGAATGTTATGAAGAAAATTAACTTAAGGTAAATAAAAGTCAGATGCAATGTTTGGACCTGGATTGACTCCTCATTTGAATACAAATATCTTGCAGTCAATCAGGGAAATTTATTTATGAACTGGACACTAGACAATAAGAATTATAAATCTGTTACGTATAATAATGGTACAACAGCACTTAATTTATAGGTCCTTAACATTTAGAAATCCATACTGAAATTTTCAGGTGAAATAAGATGATGTTTTCTCAAAGAGTCTGGTAACTGGGCTGGGGACTTAGCTCAGTGGTTCTGGCGCCCGCCTTGCAAGTGCAAGGTCCCGAGTTTGATCCCTGGCACCAAAAAAAGAAAAAAGAGTCTGGTAACTTGGGGTTTGAAGAATGAGAGGCATGGGGCTGAACTACTGGTGATTCATTGGTCAGCAGGATACCAAAGGCTGAGGGTAACACTCAGAGGCAGAAATTCCGTTTGGTCCACCAAATATGTCTGACTCAGAATGCTCCATGGAAGGCTGTGCCATGGATCAAGTGCTCCCACATCCAACATGCCTAGGACCATGCCAAATCCATGCAGCAGAACCTAGTGGAGATGGGGTTGGCTGTAGACCCCAACAAAGTGGTTCCTCTCCATAAGAGAATGGTGTGAAGGTCACGGAGGTAGACGAGGAGGAGAGGCCCAAGGAGTTTTTGTGGAAGCCCTATGTTCTAAATTATGGAGGCAGAAGCCAGCGTTCTAGAAAAGAAAGGAAATACCTTGTCTCAGGACCTCATTGTCTACTGCACTACATGGTAGAGAATGTGGAGAGGAATGTAAGGTCATGGGATGAGAATAATTACTATCAAGAGGCCCCAAAACAGATTCGAAGTTAGAACGATGTCATAAATGTTTTACCCCAGTAGAGTGGCTGAATGACTGGATTAGATCTGCCCTGGGCTGTGACCTCTTTCAGGACCAAACAAGCTGAACCCACAGTTTAAAACAAGGATGGTGTGTGACTTCAGATAAGGTTGGCAATCCCATGCATCAGGACATACACACACACCCTCTCTGGGAAAAAAACAACACCTGAGGCAGCAATTATATATTTTTTTCTTTTTGGGATTCTTTTTTTTTACTTAGTATTGAACTCAGGACCTTATAAATGCTAGTCAAGGACCAGTACCTCTGAGCTACATCACTGGTCTTCCAATTTATATTCTTTTGAGGGCTTATTTAAAAAGCCAGAATTTGCTGTTTTCAGAGCAGGTGTGCTTTGTCTTTTTCTTTCTTTCGTTTTTTTTTGTGACAAGATCTCTCTATGTAGCTCAAGCTTGCTTTGAACTCACTATGTAACCCAGGCTGGCCTCATACTCACAGCAATCCTTCTGCCTCAGCCTCCTGAGTGCTAGGATTAAGGTTATGCACTGCCACAACAGGCTTAGAGTGGGTGCTTTATTTGAATGTAGTTTATACATAATAAAATCAAGGATATTTTATTTCAACAAAAAATGATGCCTTAGATTTTCTTTAAAATAATCTAGGGGAAAAAGCAGGGTGTGGGGGGGGGTAGATGAAAGAAGCCTGATAACATGTTGATCATTACTGATGTTGAATAACAGGGACACAGGAATTCATTATTCTAGTCCCATTATTTTTGTGTATGTTTGGAAAGACTAAGAGAAGAGGGACCTGTACATAGTGATGCAGTGTTTGATTATTATATGAGCCCCATTTGCACCCAGACACAAGGGGGCTCAGAGGCATCTAGGTTACATATACATGTCCCACATTTAGGTGGCTGATTTCCAAAGATTTAAACATTATAAAATACATTCTGCCCTGAAAGAGTTCTGAACCCAAGTCAATCCTGTTTTTGGAATTCAGACATCACTTTAAGCATTTACTCAACAAATACTTATTGGGCACCTATTGATATGCTCAACCCCCTTGAAGGCACTGGTGCCAAGGAGTAAATAAAAAAGACAAAAAGCCCTGCTTTCAAGGAGATTACATGCTAACAGAAGAAAAATGATCAAGATAAACAAGTCTAATATGTTAGATGGTGATGGGTGCTAAGGGAACCAAAAAAAAAGCAGGTAAGGGAAACAGGAATTGTGGGGAGTGAGTTTATAATTTTAAATAGGGACAACCAGAGAAGGCCTCACTTAGAGGGTGCTCTTGACCTTTTCCAATAAGAAAGCAAAGCAAGTGGCCACAATTCTATAAGAGGAACATGAAATTCATAAAGTTAAATAACAAACGTCAATATCCTAAGAGTAAAACAAGAAGTACTGATTAACAGAAACCTTCAATTACTAGAATGATAAAATAATTTTTAGCTATTTAATCACTGCACCTTGCCTTATCTCTTCCAAATATTTCAACCTTAGTTTTTATAAGAGTAATTACGGTGTTACTATCTAAACAAAATGATCTTAAAGCTTTGTTTTTTAAAAATCCCACTAACCAAACACTGGCATTTAACTGCCTGAAGTGAGTGAAGACATCACTATAACCTGATTCTGCTTTCTGTTTATTTGCTAAACCTAAAAACTTTCTGGATTCCTTCTTCTCCCTTACTTCCAAAGTACAATCAATACTACTAATACCACCCCTCCCTGTTATCTATTCCTGAGATGTAAACTACCACATAACTTAAAGGTTTAAAACAACTTGTTTTCTTTGCAAATCTTAATTTGGGAAGAGCTTCTGTATGTTTCCCTTGATGACACCTGTGGCAGCTCAAAGGCAGGGGAAAAAAATCACTGAAAGGCCCATTTACCCACACCTTGTGGTACATGCTGCTGGTTGTACTTTCAGGTGGGCAGTCCCAAAGCTCCCTTGGGACTCCTCCCAACATGGTGCCTTGGCCCTAAGGGGTAGCATCCCAAGACAGAAAGTGAAGTAGGAGCTGTTATAACTTCTGTAAACTAGCTTCAAAAGTCATGCAAAGCAGCACTTCCGCCACAACGTTTTGATTAGAAGAGTCACAGAGCCCGACCCATAGTTAAAGGGAGACAAATTCAATTTCACCTCTTGATAGCAAGTGACAAAAATGTAGTGAGTATGTTTTAATATCCACAATCTACCATGTAGCCATAAACTGTTTATATTCCTCCTACATGCAAAATAGAGACATATTCTCTGAAAAAAATCCCCTCCCCGCAAAAGTTTCATCTGTTCAGAGTATCAAAGATCCTGTCATTTAAATTAGGTCCAAAGGTAGCTGCAGCTCTTGAGGGGACGGTCCATGTATCTAGTTCTAGTATGGTTCATCTTGATCTGAAGACCTGTGAACTAAAGAGACAAGTTATCTGTCCCCATATTTGCAAAACACAATCGAAGGTGAAACAGGATAAGAAAGACAGCTCCATAAGGTAGGCAAGGCTCTTCTTTTGAGCCACTGGTTCACAGCGATTCTGAAATCCAACTAGGCCCGTGTTGCTAATTCCTTGGTCAGGGTTCAGTCCAGTACTACAGCCTGAGATTAGCTCATGATTTCCCCCTTTGGGCTTTTGTATCCACCCTCTGAATTTGTTTCCTGTCCAATAAAATATAGCCCACATTTGCCAAGCAGTTTTCACAGACTGATTCCTGTTCACAGAAGTTCAAGAGCTTAAAAGCTTCTATTTTTTCTTTTTTTGGTCATAGCTTTATTGAAATATACTTATATCACACAATCACCCACTTAAAATGCACTATTCAATTTTTCAGCATATTGTAAAACCATCAATAAATCAATTTGTAAATGTGTTCACCACCATCAAAAGAAGGCCTACAGTATTTAGCAATCACTCTCCAGTTCTCTCATTCACCCCAATCCTAAGCAATTAATCTACTTTTTATCTCTGTAGATTTCCCTTTGCTGGGTACTTTATATAGATGGAATCATATAACATGTGGCTTCTTTTACACAGAATAATGTTTTCAAGGTCCATCCATATTATAGCATATGCCAGTCCTTCATTTTTTGTTGTTGTCAAGTATTATTCCATTGATGGCTATAACACACTTTATATTTTCATTTGGCAGTTAATAAACATTTATGTTGTTTCTACTTTTCAATTATTATTATAAATAATACTGCTTTGAACATGTGTGTATAATTTTTGATGTGGACATATTTTCAGCTCCCCTGGGCATAACTTTTGTTTTGTTTTGTTTGTTTGGCAGTACTAGGGATTTAATTCAAGACCTTATCACTGAGCTACATTCCCAGCCATTTCTTTGAGACAAGGTCTTGCTAAATTTCCCAGGCTGGGATTATGGGAATGTACCACCACAACTGGCTTCCCTTGGACATATACTTCAGGGTCAAATTATTGGGTCATATGTTATCACTGTATTTAATGTTGTGAGATGCTGCCAGAGTATTTTGTATAGTGCCATTTTAAATCCTACCAACAGTACATAAACATTTATCTTTCAGTTTGCACTGTCCCTTTCAATCCAAACTTGATACAAAGCCTTCAAAAACTTCATGATTTTCTTGACATAAGTTTATAGTTCTCTCCATCAGACAAAAGCCACACCCACAAATCCCTCCTTTATCTTGGGTTCCTAAGTGAAACTGCTGTGGGACCATAACTTTAAGATTCTTAGAAGCCCTACAATTTGTTAGCATCTTTAATCTTAATGAGCTATAAACAAAGGCTTGTACAGTCATACCTTTGGCTCCATCTGTAGACATCATTTTTCTGATGATTCCTTGGATTTGCTATGTCTGGAACATACTTCTTAATTTTAGCATTATTTACTCTCAGGAGAGGCTAAGAATGAAAAACAGTTTTATTTTTCGAACCTCAAGTTATAGATTGTTTACATTGAACAATTCTTCCTCTTACCTCTTTTGTCTTTTACCCCAGTAGCTAGAATGATACGCTTTTTTTTTTTTTTTTTTGAGACAGGGTCTTGTACTTGCAGCGATCCTCCTCCCTTAGCCTCCTAAATGCTGGGATTACAGGCATGTGCCACACTCCTGGCCCTAATAGCATTTTCAATACTGGCTAAAAAGCTCCCTGACTAGCTTAGTTGGTGAGATACATTATTTTCCACTGTGAATGTTGCCAGTATTGCTAAACTTTCTGCTACTATGTAATAGCAGTTGCCTTTCTTCCAGTTTCTAGCAATATTTCCCCCACCTCTTTTAAATTCTCATTCACAGCTTTCTGGAGTGATATAAGTCTCCTATAAGTTGTCTCTTCAAAGCCCTTCTAACTTGCACTCAAGGCTAATTCCTCAAACTACTGCTACATAGCTTAGATATTTTGTTATAGCAGCAAATTCTGTAACAAGTTTCGATCTGATTTATATATGGAATTTATTACAGAAATTTGATTTTGTGGAAGCCATCTATGTACAGCTATTGCTTTTGTGCCTACTGCTGTGCCTGCCCTAACATCTTGAGAAACTACAGATCTGCCAGATGTAGGAGAAACTGTAGGCCCAGCTGTGAATTCATTCCAATGAATGATCGAGCAAATCAGCAATGGTTTTCATGATCTTAACAACTGATGCCTCTGAACCAACTGCAGTAATTTTCCAAGCTGTCACTTCAATATGACTTTCACACTTTATGTGTAATGTCTCTTGTGACCAGGTCTGGCCTGAAACAAAGCAGGCAAGAGGGTTCTGAGACCAAGTCCAAGCTTAGCTAAGCTGATTCAACGTAAACCCACCAGCCCTTCTGCTTTACTTCCGCTGCTGATATCACAGTCCAAAATCTGATCACTTCTCACATGGACTACATTCTACTTCCTGTCTATACTCTTCCCTTACACTCTCACTGTCGTCCATCACCTTTCTTTAGTAAATCTGTACAGCTAACATCAACTCTGTCCATGGCCACTCACTGCTTATTAGTTAAAACCCCAACATCCGAGACTGAACACTTATAATCTAGCTCCAGCTACATCACATGTAGTTCCTTCTGTAAATCCTGTACTCTCCTCCTAGTAACCACTTACAACAGCATCACATACATTTACCCCTTTACTCAGGCTATTCATTTTGCCTATCTGACTTTTCTACCTGACTATTCCCAATCCTGATCAAATATTTCCATTATTGTTTTCCTGAATCTGTGACCTTCTCTCCGGGCAAAATTATTTGCTTCTGTATCTATATTTATTTAAAGAGGACTTTAAACAAACTCCAGTTTAGCATTTTATACTAAGCTACACCAGCAAGACAATCTCTAATAGCACGTTTGACGTAGAGTAGACATTCAATTGATATTTATTAAATTTAACAATTTAAACTTAGGTGGTATCTGAAAGATCATTTTATATAAAGCCCATCCATGGTATAAAGTTCGTGCAAATGCATGAAAAAATAAAACTGAGAGTCCCCAAAGTTAAAAATATGAAGTGATTATTGTCAAGGATTGTCCAAGATGTATAGCAGTCCCTTTATATTTGCAGGCTCCAGATCTGCAGATTCAACTAACCTCAACTAACCTCTGAGGTCCACAGGAGACAGAGCCAGCAGTGCTCAGGAGGTCAAATATGGCAGGGAGGGTAAAGCCAAGGCCAGAGCCTTTACTGGGGCTTCCAAGGGATAGACAAAGCAGGTCAGGGTAAACAATTTAGGACTGGCCAGATTGGATAATTTTGCTTGTCTTAGTTTCTAGTGGTCTGGTACCTGGTCCTGGGAAGATTAAGGTAGAGGAATATTGCCTTTTGGGGTATATGGTCCAGATAGAGGCGGTATGGCTCCAGATTGGACAGTCTGCATAGCAAAGGCCTGCTCCAGGCTGCAGCTTTTGCTGTCTTTGAGAATTGGCTAGGGATAGGGGTGTAGCTTGGTGGTAGAGCATTTGCTTAGCATGCAAAGTCCTGAGTTCAATCTCCAACACCACTGTAAAAAAAAAGAAAGAAAGAAAAGAAGATTCTACTTAAAAAAAAAAAAAAAAAGAGAGAAAGAGAGAATTAGCTAATCCCTGGAAGAGCAGTCTTTCTCCAGCCAGAAAGGTACTGTATTTTAAGGTGTCAAAAACATCTTAATACACAAAAAATTTAAAGATGTACACAGCACGGGAAGATTGTAGTCAGATTTGCATTTCTGACAGTTCACTTAAGTAGCATGAAGAAGGGTTGAAGGGAGGAAGACTGGAGGAAGGGTCAGCAAGTATGATGTTTTGCATTATTTTAGGTGACAGAGAAGAGAGATGGAGATGAAATGATAGGTTATATAATGTGGGTACGACTGTGGTTACAACCTGGTCTTTTCATAGGTGTGTGATAATATGAACCACAACTTTGGGTGTGAAATAGGGAGGTAAAAGAATTAAATAATACTTGGGATGCAGATTAGTGGTGGAGCACTTGCCTAGCACACCAAAGTCCTAGGTTCAATCCTCAGCACCTGAGAAAAAGTCAAAAGAATTGGATATTTGACAGCATGAGGTTGGGTACAGGTCCAAGTTTAATTGAGACATTAAAAACCTGGGAAGGGGGATGTAGAAAGAAAGATGGAGTCTGCTATTCAAACTTTTGAGTTCTGACTTGAATCTTAAAACACAATGCCTATTTGGCAGCTCCAAATGAAAGGGTTCTCTGCTACAAAGCCTTGTGGAATATTAGCATCCAGTGCTTTCCAAGGAGGCAGAAATTGATCCATTTGGCAGGAAAATTGAAAATTTTACCAGGTTTTTATGTTATATTTTGTTTTGTTTTTTAGCGCATGTTAGTAATACAGAATGGTGGTTTATTTGGGGGAAATTTTGCTACATGCATTTAACATCTTAATTATTTTCAATTTAATTATCCCCCTCTTCCTTCCATCTCCCTTTCCCCAACCTCCTTCCTTCTCTCCAAAAGTCTACCTTATGGAAGTTTCTCATATAAGAGAAACCATGTGACATTTCACTTTCTGAGTCTGGATTATTTTGCTTAACATGACAGTTTCAAATTCCATCTATTTCCCACAAATGACATGAGAAAAATCATCAGCTTTCTGAGACAACACCAGCCTGTGAAACTCAGCACAGGACTAAGAACCTAAAACTGGATTTTAATCCAGACAGAGTTAATGACATTATGTAAACTTTAAGCAAGTCGGTCAAACTGGATATATCTGTTGTTTCATCAGTAAAATAACAAGTATGAATAGTGATCTATTCCACTGAGATCTCACGGGAAATAGCTAATGATTATAAACTACTTTGGGAAGTAAAAAGTGCTGTGAGAATGCTAACATATATAGCATCCTAAAACCTCAACGATCTTAGTTAAAACAATCATTAAGTTTAATGACCAACAGAAGCCTTGTTCCATATATTAACACTATCATACAGAAGAACCTGGCTAATTCTAACTATAAAAAAAGACTCCTGTGAAAAATTCAAGGATTTTTTGAAAAGTTGAAAAAGTGCATGAGAAACTTCATACAGTTTATGCAGAAACCACTGCACTCACTTGTTTCAGCAAGCTTATTTTGTGACTAAAGCATGATCTAAGACTTGGGGTAGACATTTCAAACATGCACATATTCTTCATGTACTTGAAAACTGTTATAGAAATTCTCTGTCCTGTAATAAAGATTTCTTTTTTGGTTCATTTTGTCTTTGTTTTGTTTTTTGCTACCAGGGATCTAACTCAGGACTTTGCACTTGCAAGGCAGGCACGGTGCCACTGAGCTAAATCCCTGGCTCATTTTCTTTTTAAATATGGAAACAGATTTAATGGACTTTGAATTCACATAGATCTGTCTTCTAGGGTTAGCCTTATACTTACTAGCTATATGGATTGACCAAGTTATTTGTTCTCTCAACCACTTCAAGTCTTACTTCCGTTCTATAAAATAGGGCTGAACAGATCAACTCTTGCTTTCTGTGAAAAGGAAGTAAGCCCATGTATGTAAAGTATTTAGCACACTGCCTGGCCCATATAAAAAACTCAATACAAACTATTTTTTTGTACAATACATAATTAAATCAAGATATCCACTTTTTCTCTTAACAAATCGTCATTGTATAAGAACTACCCACAGAGCTGATCCAAGGCGCTAATGTATGTGTTTATGCCAAGGACCTATACCTCTGCTGCTGTGTGCCACTCTTTTCTTTATCCATCACTACTTTAACTTATTCCTTACATATCTGACTACATTCTTGTTAAAAGGATTTAAATGGAGGGCTACATGAGCATCTGTTAGAAATGTTATATAAAAAACCCTTACATCAATTATGAGGTTGGAAATCTATTAGTTGTTCACTGACCTTAAAACAGGAAGTGATTATCAACTCAATTTTGCCAAGCAAGGCAATTTCAAAAAGAATTCAGTCCCAATTACTACCAGAATAATTTCATAAATAAATGACATCTTAAACCCTTCTGCTAAAAGAACATAATCTGTAAACAAATATCTCTAAATCAAATAAATCTGCTTCAAGAAAACTTACTATATCAAATTTTGTTATTTTGATCAGTGGGATCAGCTTAAGTCCATCCTTTAATTACTAGTTGTCCAGATAGATTTGTCAAGATTCTACTGTAAAACACACACACAAATACTTACATGCAATTATATTTTTGGAAGTTTCTACCCAATATTAAACATACAGAAATGAGAAAGAAGGAGCCAATCAAAAAAAAAGTACCAATGAATGGGATACAAAATAGAACAATGAGAGATAAAACCAAGAGCTACCTACAAAGTCTAATTAAGGGAGGAATAAACAAGCAGGATAAAGAGGGATACTATAAAGCGATGCCAAGGTTGTGGCCTGAGGACTGGGGTTTTTTATTGAGACAGGGTCTCACTATGTAGTTGGATAGGTATGTGTCACCATACCCAGCAGAACTGGGCATTTTTGACTGAGACAAGAATTATAAGTTAGCAGAGCATGTAGGGATGGGTGTGGGTGAGCAAAAACTGCACATGTCCCATCTAAAGCAGAGAACCCACTACTCAGCTCTTGCTCTTGCTGAGTGCTGCCATGAGGGAATCCTGGCTCAGTGTTCACAGCTCTTCTGAAACTGGAAATAAAGCTTTTTAAGTGAAATCTCTATATTCTTAAAATGCCACCAACTAACTTTTTTCCCCTTAAAATCACCGCACAGGACAAAAAAAAAATACATCTTTGGACCACATTCAGCCCACCAGTTTGGAAGCTCTGATGCAGTGTGAGAAAAAAGGCATGGAAAAACACCCTGAAAAAGAGTCCGAATAGGAGGCTGAGATCAAAACAGTGCCCAGGAAAGAGAAATCAGCAAATAGTAGATAGAAACAATTTCAGGGAGAGTGGTCTACAATGTCAAATGCAGCAGAGTTTTACAGTAAGATAAGGACTAGTAAGGGGTCACTGGTACTGCTTTTAGAAGCAGTTTCAATGGTGTGCAAAAGCTAAATCCAGACTACTGTAAAATACATATACATACACACACACACACACCCCCCCCCAAAAAAAAACACAACATACACAAATTTACCATAAGGTTAAATAGCTCTGTTGTAGCTTGTAACTAGATGTCTCTCTGAAGTCTCACGTGGTCATAGGTAGAGCTTTTCAGAGGTTGCTGGATCTAGAATGTGTGATTCTGGGATTAAGGATGTGATGCTGGCATTGATTTATAGTGGGATGCTAGGTCTAGGGGTACCCCACCCTCAGTGTGAATATAAAGCTTAGTTAAGAAGTGCCAGTGGCAAGATGTAAATACGGGTCTGATCCCAAATGCCACTATCTCTAGTATATATGACAATGCTTAATGTTCACAAATATTCCCATTCCCTCTTTCAGGACACAAAGGAAGGGCTATTCTTCCGGGCCCTCCTATGAGTTTGAAGCCATGAGATTAATTCAGCCAAAGAATAAAAATGCAAAATGTTTCTTCTAAGCCATAGAATTTACTTGCTAAGGAGGGGCTGAAGGAGGGCAGGGGAATGGGGAAAAAATAAGAACCAAGATATATCATGTAAAGGTACGAGTTCCCAATGATGAATGTAAATGTACTGTACACCTAAAATGTACCAATAAAAGAAGAAAAAAAAAGAATTTACTTGCTGAATTGAGTGAGACCTTTCTGAATGTTCTATTCTAGCAGTTCAAGAGTGTAACAACCCCAGTGGCTTGAGTCCTAGAGGATACAAACACAGCAGAGCTCGTCAACTGGCACACTGTAGAATAAACAAGAAACACTCCTTATTGGTGCAAGACCCTACAGTTTTTAAGTTGTTACTAGAGCATAATGTTGTCTATCCTGAATGCTACCACCAGTGATCTCAAAAACCAAATAAATACACGGCAGTGGGTAAGAATATAAAGAGAAAAGGAAAGTAGTTAAAACCTATTGAGTTTTTCAGAGAAGTTCAGGGAAAGTCTGGCAAAGTCATGAAAAGCAGATAACTATGTAATATGCCCAATTTTTGTTCTAAATGATTTTCCTTAGAACTCTGCAACCTCACTAGCAATAATACTTAAGATCTAGTAAGTGGTCTCAACTGAGACCAATTTGACCCCAATTAAACATGTTTTGTTCTTCAATTCTAGAGGGGATACAACAGGTATTTCATACTAGAGGCCAGGGATGCTGCTAAACATCAAATGCATAGAACCTCACAACAAAAAATTACCCAACTCAAAACATCAACAGGGCCATGGTTGAGAAACTCTAGCCTAGGTGTATAAGGCCTTTCCAATTTTAGGCAGGGGTTATGGGGGGGAGGGGGGTTGCAGAATATCAGATTCAGAAACAACTTTCTTAAATCAAATCATTTTTTTCTTATCAAACTCACGCACTGGAGTTCTTTTTAATCCCCATGTTGATACTGTATGGGCTGAATTTATGAACAAGTATGACACAGAAAAGAAACAGCAGGATATATTCTCAGTCATCTTTATTCAGAAAATTGACCAATTCATCAACTTTACAGAAAGGTAGTGATTTATATGGTATTCAGTAACTCATACTGGTCATCTTGGTTATAAGACAACTATAAGCTAGGCATGGTGGTACACACCTGTAATCCCAGCACTCAGGAAGCTGAGACAAGGCGGCCTGTGAGTTTGAGGCCAGCCTGGGCTACACAGTGAGTTCAAGATTAGCCTGAACTATGTAGTGAGACCCTGTCTCAAAAAAAAAGAATTGGAAACCCCATGAGTTTAAAGATGGAAAACCACTATTTTAACAAGATTTACACTAGGAAAAAATATGTGTAAACATAAGCAATGGGGAGAAAACACTTGTATTTGTTCACTAACAAAAAATAATGAAAGTATGAAATTAAATTCTCAGAAAATCAACTGACCTGCTCCATCAGCTAGTCCATGACAACCTGTATCAAGAAGACACTACATTAACAACTATGTGCCGACATCAATTTGCACAAAGTTCTTTCTTACTATTTCACATCCTTGCACATGTTTATTCTTTAGAAACAAAAAAAACCACTCACAAATCTTAGAACATTCTTAGAATTTATTTATCCTAAATAAACTTTCATTATTCTATAAGGTCCTAAGCTTCTACTTGTTTTCTAAGAGCCATGACTTAACTGGCTATTACTTTATTATTTTGCTAACTGGGGCATAATGCTATGGTCATACTATATTCTCAATTATATGCAAAAACAAAATAAAAGGTGGAAAAGTTCTAAAGCTAAATGAGTTTATTTCAAAATTCTAAAACTGCTAAATAATGACAATATGAACAGCCAAGGTCTATTTAATTCATTCACTTTTTATTATTCTTTTGGCAAACATCAGAGAATATGAGCAAAACTACACTGCTCATTATAATTACATTCTTTTTAGCTTTACACAAGTTGTAAACATATTTAAGTGGATAAAATTCTTGGCTAAGGACATTTCCAGAACTCTGACTAGTTTTACAGATTAGGACAAAAGAAAGCTTATATAATATTCATTAGACCATCATACAGCAAACTAATTAGAATATGTACTTTAAAATTAACATCTGCAATTTTTAAAAAACTTTCAATTATAGATAAAATATATTTACCTAAAGTTTCACAAAAGAATAGGTGATAATACAAATCTGTTCATAACTGTACATGACCACTTAAAAACAATTTTAATAAACACAAAAAAACAAGAAAATTCTAATTCTTCCTCATTAAAAAAATTACTTAGAATACTTTTGATAGAATTTATAACTAGATTTTATGATATTTTATTACCTCTTAATGCTGATATTTTAATTTTAGAGTAAGAGAGTACTACAAAATAAACACAAAGCACTTTATAATTTACAATTCCATTCCTTTATTAATTTCAGACCCCTGAAAAATTCAGGTCAAAGGTTACAGAACAGGCAGCTTTGAAATATCTTGTTTGGCAGGCAAAGTGGTTTTCAATCTGTTGATTGGGTGCCCTTGGGAAGACTGGCTCTAGTTGACCACAGTCCCTACCAGCTTCTCACATTGTTACCTATCAGCCATGTGAGACTGGCTCCGCTTTTTACCCCAACAGTTACTCATAAAATTATACATAAAGCACAAGTTCAAGGAACTTGGGAAAAATACATCCGAAGTTCTCATTTTCATAATTTTTTAACATAACAAATTATCAAATGCATTTGCATAGATGAGGACTCTCCTCTTAGAATACTATTATCTGTGATCTCGAATCTGAATTAGATAAATCATTCACACAGAAAATCATTGAATACTGATCTTACTACACAGCTCTTGGCTCTCCAATTGTATCCATATACACAAAACAAAATTTTCAAATATGTGAAATGAAAAAATGACATTAATAAGATTAACAATAGTAATGAGAACTTTCTTCTAACACTAGAAAATGAGTAAAAAGGCAGCAAGCTTGTAAAACAAATTGGAAAGAGAAAGAATTTGAAGTAAATGTGGCCTTGGCCTTTGAAACTACTAAATCCACCATTTATACAATATAAAGAGTGAGAGAGGCTTCTGGAAAAAGCTGCAAGGGAAAGTAAAGCTGCTGAGTAGTGGGAAAAAAAACCACTAGAAAATATAAGAACCTACAGTTATAAAGAGAATAAGGAAATGATAGCACTAACTCCAGCCTGAAGTTTAAGAAACAGTGAAGAGCAACAAACAAATTAGACAAGAATGTGTTAGGTCTTTTCAAATTTATACACAAATAAAAGGCAAATCTCTTAATTCTTTACAGTTTAAAGTAGACAACCATGAACATCTATTTTTCTCTGACTTTGTCTCATTTCTCTAAACTTAACCACAGATTCCCATCTGAATATTATAAAATTCTTAACTATGAAAGCAAGCTTCTTAGCTGCATTTTGAAAAGTACAGTACTATGTAAAAAGCTTCACCCCATTAATTCCATGAACACCAAATTTACTTCAGTCAAGCTCATTTTAAAAGCATTAATTAAATTTGCTACCACCATACATTATTTCAATGACAAAGAGACGCAGTCACTTCAGTTCTTCAAGAAAAATTACATTGAAATGATTACTTGGGAAGCTTTTATCATTGGGGAGAATTTTTAAACGTTTAAAATTTATCCCAAAACAGAATATGCAGGATGATATAAATAAAAATATCAGTGAACAGGGTACCTGTTTGGTCTATGCACAGTGTTCTCCATAAAAGACTTACAAGTTTTAAAAATACCATCAAGAGGAAAATGGTTAAAGTTTATCTCCGACATATTTAACACAATTCTAAAAAGCCTGTCTGTAAACTTACTCATAAAACTGATTTAAGGTAGTTGTGTTTTTATAGCATTTAGAACAATCTAGCACTTGGCAGAAGTACTCAGATTGGCATACTGTACTAAAACATAAATAAATTTATAACATTTTGCAAACTAGCTGCAATTTTCAGTACCTGTGTTCACCAACCGTGTAACAGAATTATAATGTTCTCCTAAGCCATATGCATGTCTCATATATCTGCAATGAAGAAAAAACATAAGTAGTTTTGATAAAAGTAATTTATTGTATAGAAATGCTTGTTATCTTTATAAAACCAAGCACTCTAGGGGCCAGGGATTTAGCTCAGTGGTTCTGGCGCCTGCCTTGCAAGTTCAGGGACCCGGGTTTAATCCCCAGTACCAAAAAAAAAAAGTAACTTATTTAGGGCTGAGGATTTAGCTCAGTGGTTCTGCCGCCTGCCTCGAAAGCACAAGGACCCGAGTTCGATCCCTGGTACCAAAAAAAAAAAGAAAACCAAGCACTCTAAATGACTCAGCCCCATCATTCAACAGACTACATGAGTGTATTAAGAGTTCAACACCATTTGACAAGTATCGTATCAGCAGCTAGCAAGCGGTTCAACCACCAGAGGGAAAATGGAAAGGCTGAGATGAGTACTCAATAAACTTCAAATTTTCACCTAAATTCAAGTCATTGATGACTATCTTAGTAAGTTTAGCTGATAAACACTAAAGCAAAGAAGAAATCCTCCATGCTATATTTCAGAGATATTTTTTTCAAACAAAACACTTTGGCAATGTGAAGAAAAAAAATCTCCAAGGAATAAACAGGTAATATGAATATATTTAACCTTTTCAAATAAATATTTATAATACAAAATAGTGATGTTCATTTCGGGACTTCATACATGCACATAACGTTATCTTTGATCATTTTCAATTCCTCTGTCCCCGCTTCCCCTCTCCAAGAGTCAACCCCCTAATTTCCTATATTTCAGCTTCTACATTTGATGAAGCTTTTAGCTAGCATTATTAATGTGCAACCAGGACAATATACAAACTGGTCCTAAAACTTTGCAATCTTTAGAAATCACTGTATTCTTTTTTTTTTTTTGGTACTGGGGATCGAACTCAGGACCTTGCGCTTGCAAGGCAGGTGGTGGAACCACTGAGCTAAATCCCCGAATGAGAAATCACTGTATTCTTAACTCATACAGAGACATAAATCACTAGGAGTTTAAACAATTACCTAAATTGTGTATTTTGATGTTTTCTAGTTCTACAATTGCCTTTAAGATAAGCAGAATTAATTTGGTTAGTTTTTTTGATAAATCAACATATGAAACCTAAACTGTTTTCTAAATTCCTTTTTGTCTTAATTATGAAAAATAAAACAGCAGAAATTTGTAGGTACTTACACAAGTGTTAATGGCTTTTTAGAATATTCTTCACCAACTACAATAGGAGGAGAATCTGCCTGTATTATCTCTATTGGTGTCCGTAAAATGTGAGACAGAGCTCTTAGCTACAAGAAAAAAAAGTATTAGTAAGGAAAATAAAAATGTAAATTTTATTCAAATCATAAAGTACTGAAGTATATCCATATGAACATGGCAACAAGTTAGAGTAAGGGTATGCTCTGTTCTGAACTACATACCAAGTACATGCCTGGTACACAGCTGACAATAAAGTTACTCAATAAACAAATAATTATGATATCTATTAAATCAAGGCAGCAGTTTTGAAAGCCTCGGCTACACAACAGCTTCATAAAAATATCAATGTCACAGTTAGTGAAATAGGGTGATGGGTAGATCTGATTTATTATGATATTTAAAATACTGATGCTTAAGCTCCAACAGCACAACAACTGAGGAACCGGGGGCAAAGGGCATACAACAATACAGGTATATTTTCTTAAAAGCTTTTTTATGATTCTAATGTATAAGTAATGTTGAAAAATAGCATTTTACAACTTTCAAAGAAGGAGTACAATGAGATATGAACTATAAACTATACATATATGAACTACACATACACAGATATAAACTATAAACTATACATATAAACTATAGTGCCCTTTCAAGGAATTTCCAACTGATTAAAATACTACACAATCTTAAGTAACTTTATAACGTCCAATATTAAATTAGAACCTAAAGTCTGATGAACGTTACTAAAGAAATTAATGCTAACATTTTGTAGACTTACTATGACTAAATAAGCACTTACTTATTATATACTAATTACTAATCTTGACAAAAATTTTGTGGAATACATTCTAGTGTTATTTTAAAAACCTAGAATTTGCCAGGGATTTAGCTCAGTGGTTTCGCCGCCTGCTGCACAAGCGCAAGGACCTGAGTTCGATCCCCGGTACCAAAAAAAAAACCAAAACAAAACTGTGAGCTAAAAACCTAGAATTTAAGGTAGTGAAAGGTCAAGAGACCTATCAAAATCAAACATTAGGAAATTAAATGACCTGTATTGAACTGGGGAAGCCTGATTCTACAGTCTAAGTTCATAAATGGATTAATCACTACCAGTCTTCACAGGACCCTGGATCTATTTATTTGCCCCACTACAAGAACATAGTCCTTATCGGTTTTGAAAGAATGTGAGAAATTATTTCAGGAATATGGAACGGTTTCTATGCTACACAAATATAATCCCACATTGTATCTTACAGAATGTTCCTTTGAAGTATGTATTTCTTGTATCTAATGAAGTGTGTAAAACTAGCCCTAGGAATCTTAAGATTTCTTTTAATTCTTCAGAAATGATATAATAAAGATTTTTTGTTCTAGTTTTGATTATTGTAAGTGTATTGCACTGTGAAAACAGTAATTCTTATGTCAAATGAATTCACAAACAATTCATGAATAAATGTCCTTCAAAGGATGTTTTAAAAAGCTTTTCCTCATTTTAAGTACAGATGATAAAGCCTCCAATACTCATTTCAATTTGTGATCTTTATGAGAAAGTTCAGTGTAGTCACAAAGTTACTGAGAAAATCTGAGTTTCTGAACCCAGGAGAGGCATACAAAACTGAATGAACACAGTACCCTCTGGTGGAGAGGTACAAATACCACACTGCTAAGAAGACTATGGAAAAACATTCACATTACATCTTCAAACAACATAGTTTCTGCGAAATATTTAGAGATAGCTTCATCCATCTGGCAGCTTAACTCTTACATATGTGCTCCCTACTTTACTTAGTGTTCACAAATGCTTGGAGTACACACAGAGGTTTTATTATCCCATTCAATAACTTAAAAACTGAAGCTCCAGAGGTTTCCTGACCTTCCCCCAGGTCACAAAACATAGAAGTGGAAAGAGAAGTCAGAATCTGAAGCTAGAACCTGCCTTCTTAACCTCTGTCTTTCCAATACTCCAAAATTCCTCACTACCATGGGACCTCCTACGTGTTTTACTGTTTTAATGACCCAAAACTAACAGTAAGATTTTAAAAACTTGCGCTAAAAAGAAATTCTAATAACTCCCTACAAGTGACTGAATACATTGTTTTCTTAATATCAACTTTATGCATCAACTCCTGCTTTCAAGTAAGTCACTATCAAGAGGAATTCAAAATAACTTTTGTAGTAGATATGCTATAAGATTTGACCTATAATTTCACAGAGATATATTTTTTCTATTTCTGATGCAAAGGAGAAGTAACTTTTCCTACTGTGATTTTCAACAGCTGATTCATTAGGGTAAATTTTACCTTGAGTAAAATCTTCACTTTTTTAAGTATACACAATCAAATACAGTGGCAGTAGCAGCATCACAAAGGAAAACTTAGATGAACACTGGCTTCTCCAACATACAGCTCTAACACTGAGCTATTTAAAGTGGAATGATGTTCACTTACTCTACCTATATACCTTAGTCAAAAGCAAAGGAATGTTAATTCCTCATTTCTTTTTCAGTAGAAAAATTTCAAATACGTAAAGAAAAGGAATCTTCAAACAAAAAATAGAATCAGTTAAAAATACCTGAATGTCACAGGAGATTCAGAAATCATTTAACAACCCACAGTTGGTATGAATTACAAACTTACCTCAAGCTGACCTCCCCATGCAGCTGTGTTTACAATATCGTCACAGTATTTTCCAAACTCTTCTGTAGAGAACATATCAGAAGACAGCACTTAATTTTCATAACTCTTCTTACAAGATCCCCTTTATAGCTTCCATAATTCCTGATGGAAATGCTCACCTCATGCACATCTTCCTTCTCTAGCACTTCCCTCTACAATTTAATCTCCTTCCCAGATTCAGACATAATTCACCCAACTTTCCATCACCTTTTCATCCAAGAGGAAATCATTTCTGCTCTCCCTCAGCCTGAGGCCCATACATAACGAAGTTACCTTTCTGTCTTCACCCAATGTGATAACCCTCAAAACAGCCCCCTTATTTACTATCTTGACATGTGCTTTGAAGCTATCTGTGTTAGCCAAGAAAAGAGATTTTTTAGAACAGCCATAAAAGTGCAGAGGACCATAATATTGATTATATCCAAGGCAGGCTGTAGAGAGTTAACCCCACAATTGGCTCGTTTACAGGAGTGAGTCTGGCCGAAGTCTACATGCCACGGTCAGAGTAACTCACACCCAAATTCTGTTCCCACAACTAAAACTGTTAGACTAGAAGGACAATGTTCTAATTACAATCATATATTTTATCTATCCTGTTTCTAATTTGAAAATGCTTTGTTTTGTCCTTTATGAGCCTTGTTTACATTCATTTCCACAGAAACCACACGCACACGTCGCCTTTACCCTAGTTGATTGCCAATAAAAGTCAGTGCCTGGAACTGGCCAGCACCTTTGTTGGTTACGCTGGCATTGGTCGGCCTGGCACTCCGCTTTCTCTCTCTTAGTTCCTTCTTAGTGTATTTTTTCCTCAGGCCTGTGTCGCACACTGGGCAGGTGAGGACTACAGACTTACTGCAGGAGTCTCCAGCAGAAAGAAGTAAAAGACCTATTCTCTGAGTTTAAAATGGGCATATTTTGTTCATATATCTTTTTATACAGTGTGTTAAAATGAGCCACAAACATCCTTCTTGTCCAGAAAGGGGATGAGGAATATAGGCATCTAAAAGACAAATATATTACCATGTATTTATTTCATTCACTGTTAAATCCTCAGTGTTCAAAACAGTGCTCAGAATGCTGCACACACACAATGGCTTTCAATAAATACTGACTGAATAAAGATAATTCAGTCCTTTGTATTTTTCTCTGGTTCAGCATAACAAATTGCTACCTCCTTTTAAATTCCACTACCAAAGCTGGGGAGCTTCAATGATTTAGTAATCAAGCTGGAGATGAAGTAGAGAAGAGCTATTTATCAACTTATTTCTGTGCATGTCAAAATACACGAAATTACGTATTTCATGTCTCATAGCAAATTCTGGTTATTTAGAAAATGGCAATAGCCTAAAACAGCAAAAGATACATTAAGGTTACCAGTATGAGATCAATGGGAAATTAGCTGGCTACAGGATTAGATACATCTATAGTTATACCTAGCAACAGACACCTTTAGGCTTTGCTCACTAAAGTGACCTAGTCAACTGCTAGGGATCATTCGTATCTATTCTGTATCATGCTCTACTTTCTTCAATAGAGGGCAGACTCCACTAAAGGAAAGTCACCCTTAACCACCCCATCCTGGCCATAAGACTTGCTCCCCAGTGGATACTGCTAAATCTGCTATCTTTTCTCAAAGTCATACTTTTCTCTACTCTTTATTCCCCACAAATCCCTTTAGATTTTTACTTGTTCTTCCTATCACTTGCTAGTTGTATTTTTTTAGTTCACTACAGTAATTTATCTTAGAGCCGAGGATTTAGCTCAGTGGCACCGTGCCTGCCTCACAAGCACAAGGTCCTGAGTTCAATTTCCGGGACCAAAAAATTTATCTTAAACACCAAAGTATTGGACCGAATAAGGCAAATTTTAACTCATTTGTTTTTATAATATCAAATTTTACTCAAATAGTAATTTTTTAAATTTTAATTTATTAAGAATAGCACTACATCTTCTAAAGTACAGAATAAAAGAAATTAGTTTTCATACTCATTTTCTGCTTGTAGTCTTCCAATGACTGGAAGACTGGACTGGGCTTACCTCCCTTTATGTTTGATCTTGTTAAGTATGAATTTAACAAAATTTTCTCAATATTAATTAATCCCATTCTTATTTTTATCTTATATGAAATAATTTATTTTAACTAAAGAATGGGTAAGTGCTTAAGAGACCTAAATAAAGTAAAATGTGCCAGCATCTATTCAAATTATAGAAAATAATTCTGACAAATTTTTGTGATAATTTTTTCTCATAAGGGTTGTAGGGGTTCTTCTTGTATGCAGTATCAGCATGTATCTTATTTAAAAACAACCACAAATACCAACAAAATGTAATTTAAAAAAATTTACCTGGGGTATACGTATCTCCTGTATTAGGGTTAATTAAAAATGGCAAAAAGTCTTCCACATGGCTTTGCATATATTCAGCCGTTTGACTTCGTAAGGCAGCCACAGTCAGAGCACTGTCCTGTTCTTTCAGTTGATCCTCAATGGCTTTATACATACAGTGGCCGTCAGATGGAATCTGTTTAATTTCTAATTCCCTGGTTGCCAATATTCGAGCAAGTTTTTCATTTTCTATATGTCTAGCTCCAGATAAGCTCTCAATTTCAGCTTCAGCTATTCTCTCTTCCCTCTCCTTTTCCAATGCAGCCTTTTTTTCCTAAGATGAGAACAGAGGAAAGTTAATTCATGATAATTAGGACTGGTTCTCATTTATTAAGGGGATGGAGATAAAAGATTCTCAAAACGTTTTGTCATTTTTCGTCCTTCTCCCACAAGAATTATACTGATTATCTCATTACTTAGAGAATTTTTTATACTGTAAACTCCTTTTAGGGCAAACCATTTTATCCATCTTATCTCTGTGTTTCTAGCACCTAGATCTGTACATAAGAAAACCTTTCTACTTAAAACTATCTGTCAAGCACTTGGGAGGCTGAGGCAGGAGGATCACCATGAATGCGAGGACAGCCTGGGCTACAGAAAGAGTTCATGGCTAGCCTAAACTACAGTGAGATCCCATCTCAAAACCAAAGAAACGAACAAAAACTACCTGTCAAGTTTCTTCAGTTGCCGATTTCAAAATACTGACTTAAGACTGAGTTGTCTTAAGCCTGAACTCACATTATTATCATATTTAAGCCCAGGCAAGTCCACCTTTAACTTATAATTCCATCATATTTGATATTAATATGCTAACACCTTTAGAATGCATAGGCAGACATCTTTTTATCTAGTTTTAAAAAGAAAGCATGTATATAGGTACATATATATTTAATAAAGTAACAGGTAAAAACATTCTTCTATACAAAAAATTAAAATTAAACAGACAGCCCAAAGTTTCCCTTAAGTACTATTACCAATCCATGGTGCTCTCTAGGTTTGTGGTGTATCCTTCCAGATTGTTTTTCTATGCATTTTAATAAATATAGTTTATTCACAGAAAATGTATGACCCCTGCATTATAACAAAAATGGTATCACATATTGCATTCTACAATTTGCTTTCCCTATTCAAACATCTTAAGATGGCTCACAGAGGTAAGGGTGGGCTGGGTGAGGTAAATGAGACACTTGGGATATGAGTGGAGAGGAAGAGTAAGGAGAAGGAAAAGACCCTGACAGCTAAACTAGTAAGGAACATAAGGCAGAGAGAGCACCATATTTTAGCACAGCTAAAAATAATTCACAGAACTAGAATGCCAGAAAAAGTGTCAAGATACGAAGTTGGGGGCTAAAAAGATAAGTATGGGATTAATATAAAGTCTATGCTTAAACAGCATTAAAAGAAGAAGAGAAAGACAAATCACAAAAGTATGTGATTAATAGAAAATCTATGCTTACCTACCATTAAAAAAAGACTAGAAAGATAATACACAAAATATTTTTTCTGGACAGAATTATAAAATACCCTATGCGTCTGTGTCTGGGTCTGGGTCTTTTTCTATGTTTCTGATTCCTACCATCACTCTGCTTTGTTTGTACGCTCAGGGAGGAAAGTGCCTTTCAATTTAAAAGAATAAAATGTTAAACTAAATTTTACAAATCTTGATATAAGTAATAAACTACAGTGAAGGAGGGTAAACCAAGAGCAGAAAAAGGGAGACTTTTATGTCCCTCAGGGAAGTAAACAGGAAGGCAAACTTCCATTAAACTTACTACCACATACTTGTAGGGGATGCCTGTTAGGTGCCATATTAGACAAACTTGAACTAATTTCTAAAGTACCTGAAACAAAAGCAGCAACATCTCTTTCACAAAACATAAGCCTGTTTAGGATTTTTCTTCCAAATTAAACCATGACAGAAACATCAGGAACAAATTTATTTCACTGCATATCTACAACTTTGGATCACAGAGGCATGAATAAAATCTTAAAACACAAGATGGCACTATTACTTTATAAAAGAATAAATACCAATTCCAGAGGGGTGAGGAAAAATAAGCACCTTAGACACCATCTAATCCAAAACCCCTCATTTTCCTCTTCTGAGGAAACAGCAGGCAGAAAGATTTCCAAAGGCCATATAGCTGGTTAGAGCAGAGCAGGGACCAAGGACAACACAGAGAGCTCCTTAAGGCACCTGAATCAGAATAAAAGTTGGAGCAGATGGCAACCAGAGTTAATGATGTCATGTTCTTTTTACTGGAAAAGTGGAACTATTCTATCTGTAAACTCTTTAACACTCAAAAATACTAATTCCAATCATTTCATTTATTTTCTCTCACGCTTTGCTTCAGTATCACTATCGTGGCAAATGAGTTTCCTTCCTAGCATACTAGTTGGGAAGTTCACTGGGTTCTCTTCTGTGCAATGTACTGTGTCCTAATAACACTTTGTTTTCTACCATAGTACTGGAGATAAAATGAGACCAACAATATCTAATGAAAGTGTATAAAAAAGAGAAATAGCATAGAACTCATAAATATACTGTTGGTAAACACAGTATGTTGATAAAAATAAAACAGCAGGCGTATGCCACCATACCCAGCCAACATGAGAGCTGGGCACTAGTCCTGGGTGTGCATCAAACTTTCAGCATGCCACTGAGAGCATCTGAGACTCATCTTTCTTACTTGCAAAATAAAGAAACTGGACTAGATCTCATTCTATCAATTTTCATATTTTTCAAACCCAGGTCTTCTAATTTCTACTTTTTGTTCCACCAGAACAAAAAGCTTCCAAGCTCTTTGAAATATATCAAATAGGTGTACATTTTTTAAGATTAAAAATAAGATGTGTTCCGGGCCAGGGATTTAGCTCAGTGGTTCCACCACTGTCTGCCTTGCAAGCGCAAGGTCCTGAGTTCAACCCCGGCACCAGGAAAAAAAAAAAAAAAAAAGATGTGTTCTGAAGTATTTCACAATATTCTTACAATTAATGTTAAACAAGTTTTGTTACATTTTTCTTCCAGAGTTATATCTTTCTCAAAGATAAACATTATTAGTTAATTGGCTTTTCATTCCTGGGTGCTTTGGCAAAAAGAAAGGCTCCAAATAATCTAATACCCAATTATCCATCCTAATTTCAGGTTCTATTTTCTTAAGTATTATAAACTTCTGTTTTCTGTTTCAGAATCTCATTAATATAAGTAATTATATTTCTTCAGGGCATTTTCTCTGACAAGTGGTAAGCAGCTGACTACAAAAAATATTAAACTTTTTGAGAGTTGAGCTGAAAAAGGTATTCATATCAATTTAAAAAATAAAATTTTTGAGAAAGGTAAGGGAATTTTGTTTTTGTGTTATTGTCTGAGGGTATAGGTGAGGAACAAGTTTTGATAAAGACAGAAATCAGTGGTTCCCTTATGTATTCCAGAATTAAGGCAGTTATTATAAGATGTATCAATACATAAGTAATTCTAAAAATTATGATCCTACTAGCATGTAAAAATTCTGCTCGTTTTTGTTTGATCTACAGAAATTAGGTAATAATTGTGGGAGAAGAATGGCTATCATAAATAAGGAATTAAACTAGATACAAGACCTAAACTCTTTGGATTGTTCGAAATTCACAATCATACCATTTACTCAAGAATAAAATTCTGCCAAACAGGTAGCACATGCTGTCGTGCCAGCACTCAGGAGGCTAAGGCAAGAGGATCGCCTTGAATTTGAGGCTAATCTGTGCTACATAGTGAGTTTGAGGCAAGCCTGAACTACATAGTGAGACTTTGTAAAACATAAAAAACAAAAATAAATAAAGTAAAATACTACACAAGTACAAGAAAAGTTTGACAATTACAACTAAATCAACTTTCAAACAAAAAAGACATTGCTCTTAGAATGAAATTTTTAAAAGGCATACTATACTTAACACAACAAACAATTCTATTATTTTTTTACCTATTCTCAAGGCTTTGTGTTAAGGGCTCTGGCAAAAATTTATTATTTAATATCCTCAGTAATCCTATGAAATAGGTACTGTTTTCCCCCATTTTATAGATATGAAACAGAAGCTTAAAGAAGTTAAAAATCTTATGCAAAGTCACAGTAAAAGAAATTAAAACCTCATCTAGACTGGAGAACCTCAGAGTTTTTAGCACTATCCTAATATGCATTAGGCTCTGGATGGATCTTCAGCAACTGATGTTCAACAATGCAAAGAAAAAGAGGGGAAGAAAACTCATATACTCTATGCTCTATTAAATTATGTACTACTAAATGATAAAATGCAAAGCTAGTTTAAAAATTTGCAATTAAATCCTAGAAAATATCAAGATGTAGGAAAATACGTGGGTCTAAAAAATTGAATTTAAATGTCTTTTTCAAAGCCAAAGGTAATCTCATTCCCATAATGTTAATATTAACTCACTACTTTCAATAAACCAGTTTCTTTTTATCTCTTCACTAATGAAATAATTCATTTCCACATTTGTTTTAATAGATTCTGCTTCTCCTACTTGAAAAATCCCATCTAAATAATTATAATTCCTTCAAATTCCAACACATCCATTTAACACTCAACAAACTTTCCCTTTGATGAATTTCTACTATAATTAAACATTATGTAAATATGTAGAGAATTCTCTGAGAATCTGGCATACTTATACTTCTTTGAATACTTGCTTGTTTAAAAACTTCTAGGTTCAAATCCTTGATTCATCACTCAGAAGCATAGTTTTTAACAAGGGCTGCACATCAGTCATCAGACTCACCTGAGCCCTTACTCTAAAGAGTCTAAATTAAGTCTAGGACAGCGTATTTGTTTTTAAAAAATTTATTTGCACTCCCCAGGCCAACCCTCCTATGAGAACTATATACTGGACATCTTATAGTGCCTTAGATCTATTTTCTTCCCTGTAAAATGAGGATAAAAATCTTACTTCCCAGAACTAAATGAGATTTCATACTGCACAAAAACAGCTTAGCATAGTATCTGGTATATATCAAGTACTTAGTCAATGTTAGCTCAGGTCCTTTTACAAGGAATTTCATCTTTTTCTTTCCATTCCCTCTTTATATAACACCTAAGATTTCACTGAAGCCAGGCTTAAATGGCACAGATGTGTAATCCCCAGAGCAAGAGGGTCAGAAGTTGGAGCCCAGCTGGGGCAACTTAGTGAAATCCTATCTCAAAATAAAAAATTTAAAATGGGCTGGTGATGCAGCTCAGTATAAAGACCTCAAGTTCAAACCAGAGTACCACCAAAAAAAAACCAGTATTGTACACAGCATGAACTTATATACTTGGTGACATAACTTTCATACCCGTCTCTTTTGCGCTTTTGATATGCGAGGTGGTTGATTCTCAAGTACCAAGTTTGCAATGTTAACAGCAACAGAATCTATCTAAAGGAAACAAAAAGCATTAACAAGTCAATGAAAAATACTTTGATATTACTACTGAAAGCATTAAGTTACTAAATTATTGTTGAAAATCACAAGTACATCCATGCTCATGTTTCATATTTAAGTAACAGCACTAGACATCATAATAGATCATATGGTTTTGTCTCCTTTCTCTACTTTTATGAGACAATCTGTCAGATCCCCAAGAAGTTTTCCTATAACTCTTCAAAGATAATTCTCATTTCTGTATGTCCTCCTTCCTTCTTGGAATGCCTACTCCAACGACAGAAGTACCTTACTTCCTATATGTGTATCAATTCATTCAGAACTACACTCTTCCTACCTCTGAATGCTGATGGCCCATATAAAACCTAGGTCCTGTGCTGGCTCAGTTCATTACTAAAGCTCTGATACATAAAATACATAAAGACAGTAGTCTTCAAAGGCTGATCAAAATATCAAGATCAGATAAAGACTTCAAAGAACGGTTATCAATGTTATTGAAACTAGGAACCTTGATTTTTCAGAGGATTCTGCTAAAACACACATATGGATGACAGGTAAAATACAAACAGGTATTTGAAAAACAAAAGAGCAAAGAAATAAAAATTTAGGTAGAGTTAAAAAAATCTGAGTTAGTGAAAAACGTAAGAGTTCAAAGTAGAATGGGAGTTTGTATTTCAACAGTTAGAAAATAGTAATTTTAAGAATCAAACATTTTTGTCTTTAGAAACCTAGAAAAAGGATCTTGAAATTGAAGGCCCAAGAGAGCAAACAAAAACTATCTTGCTAACAGAAAAGAGGGGGAGGCAATTAGGAATATCACAATTGTAACAATTAAACACCTCAAGAAGGGCACTGTTTTCTGTAGCTACAGGACAGTACCTAAAGGTCAAGGAAGCCCAGTACCTTGACTGCTGGTTAATAAATATTAATTAAAATGATAAAATTAGCCAAAGAACATCTGTAAAATTTTATTCATTACAACTTGCTTCATGAGCAATTTATAATAAATGAATATATAATTTTTAAATGATTTCACATTTGTTGTCCCATTTGACCTTTATAAAAACATGTGACCAAACAGCAAAAGTATTCATGTCATCACATTATATGTGGGTAAATTTATGCTCAGGTGGATTAAGTAACTTTGCCCAGGTTGCAATTCTATTCAGTGACAATTCTGGCCCCTGAAGTCTGGTTTTCCAAATTTCCTTTGAAGCTTCCTATGGTACACTTTATTAACCTGTTCATCTTTTAGTCAAGTAAACAGATAAAGAAGGTAATGGATGAGCTTAACTAAACGGCTTTGGGTATTTCCCTATCAATTTTATGATTTATATAATCAACAGAAGTGGACAGTCGTTTTCAAATGCTGTAGGCAAGAGAAATATTTCACATACCTTATTCTCCTTGGCAAACAGCTTCAGTTTCTCCAGTTCCTCTCTATGCTTCTGTTCCATTTCTTTTTCCAACTTTGCAACATCCTCGGTGAGCTGCTTCCTTCTCTTTTTGTCATTCTTGGGAACAGCATTCTTCATACCCTGAATTTTGGCTGAAAAGCCACCAAAATTATTAAATCAGAAACTCAGGAATAAGAGGAAATAGGAAACAGGACCAATAAGAAGATAGAAAGGGGAGAGGGTATAGAAAAAATAATCGGGGAAGCAAGAAGTCATCACATGAACAGCTACAAAGAGCCCAGGTTTTGTTTTGAGACCAAACAAAACAAAACAAAAACCATTCATTAATAAAACCTTGAATCTGGTTGGTTTGATTGGTCAGGAGGAAGAAAATGAAAACAACGGAGTGAAGCAAGTTTCAACCTTTCACATATTCTTTCTCAGTCCTCCAAACCGTGGTGAGGCGATTCAAAAGCCACCCACTAGGACCGAGCGCCTATACCTGGGGCAGGAATGGGAAGGATAGGAAAGGAGGATCCGAAAAGGGAAAAGGAGGCAGATACGGGAAGAGGAGGCAGAAGGACGCTGGGAGGAGACTAGTCACGGTCCAGACCTCGGCTTCGCGGCAGGCCTCGGAGGCTGTGGAGGCTGCGGGCTGAGGGGCCGCCTGGGTGGTGGAGAGGGGCGAGAGGAGAGTACCTGTCACTTTGGAAAAGTGTGAGAGGATCCAGGCCGTTCTCCCTTCAAGATTCCCAAAACCAACCCGCTCGCGCCCTTCCCTGGGTCTGAACGACTTCCAGATTCCCACTCCCTTCCCCGTCACCTTGCAACTCCTTCTTCTCCTTGCGATGCCTTCTCACCAGCTGCTCCTCTTCATCTAGTTCTTGGGTCAAGACTGCCTCCATAGCGACCAGATCACTTGACACACACGCTGGAAATAACCTGCAACCAGGGCTGGCCGGCACCTCGCACTTCTCAAGCCTCACCCGGGGCGCTATTGGCCACCGCCAGGCTTTAGCCCCGCCTTCAAGGCAGCACCGGATGTAAGTCAGGCCAATGGAAAAATGAGAAAGCTGAAGGGAGTTCGGCGCATGCGCATTCTGTGATCACCCCCCCCCGGATGGGGCTGGCGCCCAGGGAGGAAGCGCCGGTGTGTGGACTGGATTCAGCGTGCCAGTGACATACAAGATGCGCGCTGTGCTATTGGCCGTGACTAGAGGCGCGCAGAGATGACGTAAGGGATCGCTGTTCAACTTCGGTACTTGGGAGGATCGCTTGGACACCATTGGGAAAAGCCATTGAAAAGGTAGGAACAAAATATAAGATTTTAATAAAACCATGGATTATAATCAGTGGGAATCTTTAGACTGCATCAGTGACACTTAGAGAATTATGGTTCTGTTTTCAAGGTCGTAAGACTGCAGTTCATTCAGAAGAAAGGAACAGAGCTAATTAATCGAGAAAATGCCTCCTCTTGATACTGATGTACTGAACTATTGCAGTCTACAGATCTACAGCCGACTTGCGGAAATTATTGGCCTTGGTAATAGAGAATTCATTACCCACCCTGCCTTAGTTGTAAAGCAGGTGTTGTGTGACCACATGAAAGAGATCGAGGCCTCTTTAAAGGAAGCACAGAAGAAGGGTCGGTTACAACATAAAATTTCTCAAGTAAATGGAAAATAAGTGAAATTCTCACAGAATGCAGAGGAAAAGGCCAAAGAAATAAGATAAGGAAAGAAGAGAAAAGGAGAGATGTAGAGGGCTTGTCCAGGAGATACAATCTACGTGTAATAGGAAAACCTGAAAGAGAGTACAAAGCAAATGAAGCTGAAACAATAATTACAGAGCTAATTGAAGAAAATTTTCCAGAGTTGAAGAACGAAGTAGACCTGAAAATGAAGAAGGCTCACAGGGTACCTTTAAAATTTAAGTAGAAGAAAGCAACACCTAGCCATGTCCTTGTGACTTTTAAATTTCAAGCATAAAGAAAAAAATTTGCAAGTATCCAGAGAAAACAGGTTACATATAAAGGGGCAAAAGTCAGACTGACCTCAGATTTTTCTCTTACAATTCTAAATACCAAAAAACAATGGAACATTTACAGAATTTTAAGGGAAAATAATTTTGAACCAAGAATTATATACCCTTCCAAATTAGTATTTGTGTATGAAGGCAACTGGAAGACATTCTCAGATACTAAGGGGTTAAGAAAGTATATCGGCAGGGCCGGGGTTTCAGTGGCACCGCTCCTGCCTCGAAAGTGGAAGGTCCTGACTTCGATCCTCAGTACCAAAAAAATATATATACCAACAAAGAACCTCCTCTGAAAACTTTTATGAACGATTTACTGCATCCAACAGAAAAATTAAATAGGATAGGGGGGATAATTGTAAGGACAATTTAATGACTAAAACTAATTAAGAATATGAAATCTAAAATTGTTACATTTAGGGTAATAAACCTAAATGCTAAATGGATTTGTAAGCTAGATCTAAAATTTTCAGTTTATATAGTTTTAAATTGTCAAAATGCATACCGAATAGTCAGTGTCAATAAATGTCTTATTTTTATTTTATGTATTTATTTATTTATTTATCTTGGTGCGAGGATCAAACTCAGGATCTTGCAGTTGCGAGGCAGGCAGGGCGCCACTGAGCTAAATCCCCGGTCTAATAGTGCTTTATTTTTGCTGTGTAATACAAAGATGGATGTTAAGCCAAATGTATGTTAAATAGAAGTGCCAGGACAAGTATAGAAAAGACATTCTAAATGTTAAGCTGAAGCAATTGGAAAGTAGTAGTTTTAGTTCCTTAAAAACTAACAAGTTCATAATGTTAATACTAATAATGTAAGGAGAAAATTTCCAAAGCCCTTGTTGGAGAGGGGTGGATATGTTTGAAATGCTGATTGGTTTGTAGAAGTCAATTTGTCATTAAGTTGTGGACAAAAATAGAGTATATACATTCCAGGTTTCTGGAACAGAAAACAAGTGAAAACCCAAGGAAAAGTAGCAAAAGAAAAATACCAAGTGTTAAAATTTACGTAACAGGTATTGACAGAAATAGAGTTAAACTCACAAACTGGTTAAATTTCCAATTAATAAGATCTAAATTGAATAACAGAAGTCAATCTCTGATTTAGATACTCACATTTGTATAAAACAAAGGTTAAAGGGGTTTAAAGGGAATAGAAACTCTTTTATCCTTAGGTCTCTATGCCACCAAGGGATTCAATGTAATACATAATTTGAAGCTGATTTTAGTTCCTGATCCCAACATCCCGTGGAAAGAAAAATCATTCTGCATGAATGTTATTGACTATTTCTCAATTTGGTAAAATTTGAGGAATTTAAGTGAATAAAATTAACAAAGGGTAAGAAAAATTACAAATTGGGGTGGTATGCTTCTGCCACCCCTTCTCTCACATACCATCCCGTACATACTAAAACAGAGGCAAGAATATTGACAGTAATGACTTGAAACTTTGACAACCTGTGAAAAATAAATCTTACTTGTATATTCTAAGTACACTTTGGGCCAGATGTAAATTGTATTAGTTGAATTTCATGATTTGCTTGTTCCCTTACTCCTTTGCAAAAACAGTTTTGGCTTCACTTTTCCAAATGTACGGCTCTCCCTGTTTATCTTCCATCTTCAAAACATTTCCTCCTAGTGCACCAGGGATTGTGATCAGAGATCCTTCATTGTATTGCTGCCAGTAAACTGCTTCGTATTTAGGGAATAAACATGGAGTAAAAGATAACAAGGAAGTAAGGTTATAGAGGAAACTGAGCAGTTGGAAACAATATGATTAGAAGATCACAATTTATAACGATAAGTTGTAGCTAGGGTTCAAATAAGAAATAGGGAAATTCTGTTGAAAATCAACTCCATTGTTTCTTGTAATAATTACTTCTTGCCCCAACAAATTACAATAGTATGGATGATGCACCAGCTAATAAAATTTTCATAGTAGAACTGTTATTTATGTAGGGATTCATGTTACACTGGACTTTCACTTGGTTAAAAAAAGATTTTGGGGGCTGGAGATTCAGCTCAGTGGTGCTGCCGCCTGTCTCGCAAGCGCAAGGTCCGGAGTTTGATCCCTGGTACCAAAAAAAAAAAAAAAAATCCGATTTTTACTTCAATCAGTATAGCTATCAGTAGGAAAAAGAAAATTTTAATTGTGTTATTTTGTCAAGGGCTGAAAGCCTTAGGACATGTAATTTTGGCGTTGCATTTCTGCTAGCATTTTGATTAAATTGAAACTAGGTAATTAGTGGTGCCTGTTTTGATTAACAAGGTAAGTGGAATTAAGAATAAAAAGCCCTGGGAAAGGGGGGAAAAAAACACATGAAAGAGTTTCAACATTTTCATAGTTGTTTTTTTTTTTAAAGAAAAATGTATAAATACAAGCTACAAATTACAATATTTAGATTCCTTATTAAAGATAAGCTGTAAATTATCAAAGAGAAAAAGTGAAGATTATATCATTAGTTTTAACAGTATTAAAGTTTCCATTATAATCATTTGTCCACTTAATATTGTTCTTAAACATGTTTCTTCAGATAATTCCAGTGTTTTATCCATGTATAGTAGTTACTTTTTTCTTTTACTATATAAGTTATCCTTAAAATAGTACATGAAAATATTTTCTTTCATAGTATTTACTTGTTATATTTAACATTACTAATTATTTGTAAATGAAGTGTTTTCTTTTTATGAGTGTGTTACATTTCCCAATTCCAGGCCCCAGATAGGACCACTGTGAATACATCCACTTATTAATACTATAATAGAAATAACAACAGCTTGATCCTTAGCAGCAATATTAGTTTGCTTGGCCTGGAGAAACAAATTACCAAAAGCTGAATGGTTTAAAATAAAACAAATTGGATCTTCTCATCATTCGGACAGCCAAAGTAATCAAGGTGTAGACAAGGCTGTGCTCCCTCTGAAAGCACTAGGGCTCTAAGACTTACCATTTCTCTTCCTTAAATTTTTTTGGCTCTTTTGTTTCTAGGTGAAAATTGTGACTAGTGACTTAAGGCCTTCTTTCTTATATAAGGAGTTTCATAGTATAATTATTTGGTCAGGATTACTTTATCCTACAAATGTTGATAAATGTCTTCACATTTTTTTAATTCAGCATACTTTGTAATTTCTCTTGATTTCTTGTTTAATACATGAGTCATTTAGAACGTGGCATTGTTTAAAGGTAAATACTTTTGACCTGTTTTCAGATTGTAGTTCCAAAAAATAAAGAGTTCCTGTGAACACTTCAGGCCGCTTGATGGTATATGATCAAAACCAAGAAATTGTCTGATACAATATCACTAACCATAAAGCTTATTTAGATTTCACTGTTTTTATAAACATATGTTTTGTGTGTTTATGGGACAATTCTATGAAATTTTACTACGTGTAGAATTGTGTAAGCACCGCCAAAATCAGGGCACATAGCCATATGAAAGAACATATCCTGATAAGGCTGCTTAGCCCTGAATTTAGGTGATCTCATCTCCCCTCAAGACTGAAGACACCAAGATGAGAGGTTTACAGGGACATGTTGCTACACTAGATGCCTGGAACCATTTTCCTAAATCTGGGATCACCTAGATTCTGGAGAATGGAGAAAGCCCATATGACTAAGACCACCACAGATAAACAATCCTTTCCTAGAAATGAAAGCATCCCTCAGCCATAAAGATTCCAGAACGGCAGGACAGAGATAATGATCAACTGGACCCCAGCTAATTCTTGAAAACTGTCCACTTACCTTTACCAGTGGGCCACTCTGAACCCTGTGTCACAGTGTGCCTCTTCCACCTACTTAAGCTGGAGTCCTTCCCTATCTTCTAACTTTCCAATTAAATCTTTTCCCCTCTGTGGTTTTAATTTCTGTTTCTACTAAAGCCAGGACCCAGGCTAGCCAGCAACACAACTTTAGTAATTAGAGAAAAATGTAAAGTACCATTATTATTACCAGATTAAAAAGTTATTTATTGCAAGCAGTAGTAGCTGAAATATTAGTTTACTATAAAAAGTATTAAAGTAGTACACGAATGATTATCTTTTTAAAGTTTAAATTCAAAAGTGAAATATTGTTTAATAAATTACAATGCATACTTCTAAAATATAAGAACTGTAACACTAGAGAAAAACTGTATTAGATATTAGCAAATAGAATTATAAAGACTATTTTTCAAAGGTTGTGTTTTTAGCTGAGCATGGTGGTACGCACCTGTAATCCCAGTATTCTGGAGACTGAGGCAGGAGGATCACTGCAAGCTTAAAGCCAGCATGGACTACACAGTGAGTTCAGGGGCATCTAGAATATATAGCAAAGCCCTGCCTTAAAAAAAAAAAGTATTTTTAGTAGAGAGAAGAATCTTGTTAACCCTCCACAGTACAGCCCTGAATAAAAGGCTGAGGTAACAAGTAAATGCCTGTGGAATGTTAATGTTAGTCCAGCAAATGGGAGCCATTTCTTTTGTTCTTAATGACTTTGTACAGAAAACAAGGTTGGACTTTAAAAAAATTAAAATAAAAAAACAATGGGGAGAACAGAGACAGCTAATATAAATGACCAGATGCAAATAACCTCGGGGAAGGGGAAAAGGAGCAATGATAATGTAGAACTGAGGCAGATGATCAAAGTGAACAGACTAATTTTCAGATTCAAAAGCAGATCATCCGAAAAGAATTGAAAAAGATAGGCTCTGACAGACTGTGACTAAAAATAATTAGATTAAGGGTTTACTTCCATCTGATAAGGTCATATTTCTCAGTTATGCTATCTCCATATAAGGAGGTAAATCGTGTTTAATGACAAAGGACTTGGGCTCAGTCGGAATTCTAATTGGAATTCCAGTTCTAACACTTCAGGCTAGTAACATGGTGAGCAACCAATCTGATATCTCACAGTTTCAGTATCTACCTCAGCAAAGTGTGTAGAAAAGTAGTACCTGCTTCAAGGATAAATGGACATGTTTCCCATTTCTGCAGCTAACGCTGCAGGACTTTCTTGAATTTAAGCCAACTTCACAACAACCTATGGAGCCCTTTCAAGCCTTTTCTCCTCGGGAGTTAGACGTGTGTCTCTGTATCTCTGATTATTCACTTCCAACTCCATCTGCTAAAATACTGCTCTTCTAATAATTTCACTTCTTCCTAGATTCCATTGCTGCTGTACTTCGCCTGCAAGATAGGATGCTTTAGAGTACTGATGTGATCTGAAACAAGCTTCAGTTTTCCTTGGCCATTTGGACAATGCCAACCTACCTCTACAGGAGCCTGCCCTCTGCTCATATCAGTTTGCCAACTCATTCTTGCTAGCTTCTGATACCTTGCTTTTCCTTTTCAAACTTATTAATATTTCTCATGTTCCTCAAAGCCAAGCCAGCCTGAGTTATGGTATAGAAAACATGGGGATGTTAAGATAAGAAATTGGGCCTTGGATGTCATATGGCGCAACAGTATTATTTGCCCTACTTACTTATTGCACAGGTTTACTGTGAAGTGGGAGTCTATATACAAAGTATATTTTAAACTATAAATTGTAAAATTATGACAGCTGAAATTCCTCTTTTGTTTCCAGTTCTGTCTGACTTTCCAGTCATCTTTTTTCTCCCTGATGTGGCTACATCACTATATTTCTCCTCTCTCATTTTCTTACTCCTTTATCCTCTTTCTTATCTTCTATTCTCACTACCTCCCTCCCTCTTTTATGCCCTATCATCCAGTCTCCAGTACCTCCCTCCTCCCTGGGAGGTTAGTGCCTCTCAGATACCAGCTGTCACCCTAGTTCCTGTCCTCTCCCTGGCGAGTGTTGGGATGGGACTAGAAGTCAAGGCTTGGGACACAGTAAGTGTAAACATAGAATGGGTTAAGTACAAATATAAAAAAGCAAAACTGATCTTTATATGTTGATATGGAAAGATCTCCAGAAGTAGATAATTAGGTATAAACAAGATACAGAAGGAATATATAGATGTCTAATTTATCTAAAAAGGATGCACAAGCTTTATTCATTCATTAGAAGGTAGGGTATAGTAAACAAATGGACACCTTTAAAGAGTCCTGGGTATTTTGACCTAGATATTCCACTTTTATTAATAGGAATTATATACTAAAGAAATAAATTTTGTATAATTATTTTGTATAAATTAGTTACTGCAATTTTTTCTTTTTTTCCAGCACCAAAGATTGAACCAGGACCTTGTGCACGATAACCAAGCACGTTACCACAACTCATTCCCCACCCCGCTGCTGCAACAAATTTAATGGCAGAATGGAAATTGTACTGGCGTCACTGGGTGGGGGAGTGGGGGCCTGCGGGCGCCCTGCGCTCTACCTGGGTTTGGGGCAGGTGCGGTTTGCCCTGTGCAGGACTGGGGCAGGCAGGAGTCGGGCCTGGTCTCAGCTTAAGGTGACAGCGCGTTTTCCTGTCCCGAACTTGGCAGTCCGCACGGCGCGCTCTCAGGAGGAGGTTCGAGGTCTGTATCTTCGGGGAGATCCGCGCCCGGAGGAGCCCAACTTCTCCGTGTAGCACAAGGGCAGAAAGGCGAGCCCTCCTACTCTGTCCCCGTCCTCTTTCCTCTTTTGTCATGCCGTCGCCATGTATTCTTGTTTCTGCAGCACAGAACGGGCCCGGGAGCCACACTGGCCAGGCAGGCTCTGGGCTGAGGCCGACGCACACCTTCCCTGTCCCCACACGCGGTGCCAGAGCAACAGCACCGGCGCCTTTCAGCCCCCTAGCGGGCACGTCGCTTAGGCCCACCTCAGCGCAGCGTTGAGCTTTGTGGACGCTGAGGTTTGGGTTTCCATTTTAGTTCATAAACAGTTTTGAGGTCTCACTGTATCTTGGAGGGCGGGTGATGAGTGACGAATGGAGAAGGTGGATGTGCAGCAGGCTTGCTCAGTGCTCCAAGGGGCTCCCAAGGCTCCGTCCAGCTCGGTGACCGCTGTCACACACCAGAGGCCCTGGGGTTGCCTTAGAACTGTGACATTGCAAGTGTACTGCTTTCCCTGATGGAAGAAAGAGCCTTTCTGGGGTTTTGTTTTATTTTATTTTCTCTTAACCTCCCCAAACCTGGAAGCTGAGCAGGAGAGGCACAGCAGCCCCACCTGGTTCCACCCTAACCGTGGGGGGCGGGGGGGGGGGTTGACTTACTGTCCAACTTTAGGAAATTATAAACTATTAAGATGTATAAAATTATATTTTCAAAATCTGTTTAGTGATATAGAAAAAGGAACACATTTCTAAGTTAAGAAACAGGTCAGAAAACAAATTTTATGGATGTATTTTGCATTTGCTTAGATAAATGAATCAAATACATGAAAGTATTTATAGTGGGTATCACTGGATGTTATGGCTTGTGTCTTGCTGTCCCCCAAAGCCTCATGCAGTCACAGGTGGGACTTTTTCTGGAATTGATTCATGGTGCAATTCTAGGTTCAAGGGCACTAGGATTAAGGGTGTGAGTGCTACTTGCCCTAAGTAGTCTGCATAAGATAAAAGGGCCAGAAAGACGCTGTTAAGGCCTCTGTCCTTTTGCTAACTTGTGGCCACCATGAACTGAGATACCCCTCTGCCACCCTGCCTTGGAGCCAGCCAATTATGGTCAGAAACCTCTACAAACTGTGAGCTGAATAAACCTTTCCTCTCTTTAACTTTGGGTGTCAGGTATTTTGTCTCAGCAATGAGAAAAAAGTAACTAAGACACTAGACAATGAGATTAAGGTGGATTCTATTGTCTTCTCTATCCTTTCTTCATTATGCAAATGTTGAAATACACAAAACACATTCTTCTGTAATAATAGAAAAAGTAGAAAATGATTTTGGATTAATAAAAACATCCTCTCCAAAATTTGGGGGTTCATTTGTGCTGAGTTCTTTCTATCTATCTATCTATCCATCTATCATCATCTATCTATTTATTTTGAGACAGCGTCCCTTGCTATGTAGTTTAGGGTGGTCTTTAACTCACCATATAACCCAGGCTAACCTTGAATTTATGGTGATCCTCCTTCTTCAGCCTCCAGAGTGCTGAGATTACAGGTGTGTGCCACCGTGCCTAGTTTGAGCTCAGTTCTTTTAAAGCAGGGAGTTTTATCTTTTCCATTCTTACCTTGTAGCTTGTCTCTATATTCTAAAATATATATGACATTTTCTTAAAGCTATCTTTCCTTCCTGCTCTCTGGTTGTCTGTGCAACGTCTATCTTTACCCTCTCACATGACTTTCTAAACAAGTTTGCCCCACGTTCTCTTTTGTTTGGTTAATAGACCTTGTGGCAATAAATGGCTGCTGGCTGGCTTGCTTAGTAGATGAAGTATGTTCCTCACAGAGAGAGCACATATAACTTTTCATTAACATGATTCCTTACCTCTACAAATGTAAACTTCATACTGAATTTTGCTTAAATACAGGGCCACTTCCAAGTGTTTTAGAGAAATGATGCATTAAAAGGCATATTTAACCTAGAAATTCCACAGTAAATTTATAAACATGTACCTACCTGTACTAAAAAAATTCTTTCCTGGCTTGATAGTTCATACTTATTCAAATTAACATGGAAGTTAAATTCAGCCAGATAAATCCTTCTTGTCATCCATATTGGTGCTAGTAAACATCATTTCAAAAACATAGAAGATGCCTGTGGCTTAGAGAAGGAATTTTATCTTCCTAAAAAAGATAAGACAAGTAATCAAAATACTAGAGTCAAGAATAATTTTACTAGAATCTATGCTCACAAATCATTGTTTTTCCTCAAATATTTTTTCATTCTATTACTTGCTTTTTAAATAACTAGATGCCATCCTACTCATTATTCAAACAGACATTAAAGTATTTTCAAAATGGTCAAAATTGAAAAAAAAATAATAAATAGCCTTATTTATTAACAGGCGTGTACCTTTCAAAAATTGTCAGAAACAGGCTGTTACAACTGGAAGAATATCCGAAGGAAATGTTTCTTAGAAAATAAGAAACAATAAGGTTTTATATATCACATGAACTTTGCAAGTTTGATGAGCTTTGGTCTGGCAGGTGTTGAAATCTTTCGGAAAACCTGTATGGGGGTATAGTATTTGGCTTGCTCTTGTTTCAGTCTAATATGTTCCATTCCTGGAATTTTTAGGAAAAGGAAGAAATGGAAGGAACTCAGTGGAGTGAATCAGGCTCTCAGGGATCCCACAGGTCAGTCCAGCATCCAATCAGAGAACATTTTACATTTCTCCACATAGGCAAGAAAAATCAATATTTAAAAAAAATTTTTATTAGTATATGTCTGCAATATATAATGAATATATTCATCATGGGGAGTTGGTGTATGTACATATCACATTTTAATCATTTGTACTTCCCCTTTTCCTCTCCCCCCAATCAATACATTTGATCTATGAAGATAACAGAATTCTTTATAACTTTTGTGTTTTTATTTATTTTTATATAGCTCTTCTACATATTTCTTTATGAGTGAAGAAATATACCTCTGGCTAAAATTGATAAATCCTGAAATCTGAGTGGTTTAACACAATAAAGTATATTTCCTGTTAGTAATACAATTTCATAATCAGTGTTCTTGGCAGACAGCTCTCCTGTAAGTGGAGATCTAGTGTTCTAAGATCCTTCCTGCTTGTGCTATTATCAACGTGTGCTGCTCACAATCTCTGGGGGGTTGTTATGGTTTGGGTCCAGATGTCTCCTCAAAGCTTCATGCAGTCAAAGGTGGATTTTTCAGAGGTGGCTGAATCTAGAGTGTGTGATGCTGGGAATAAAGGCCTGTGGTTACTAAACCAGTACACTGATTGGTTTGGCACCACCCTAATCCCAGTAGTCTGGATAAGATAAAAGGCACAGAAAGACACTGTTAAAGTTCCCCTGTTGCTTTTGCTACCATGTGGGCACTGTTTCTCCTCTGCAATGGCCCTCTGCCATGTGCCACTCTGCCTTGGAGCCAGCCGATTATAGACTGAAACCTCTACAAACTGTGAGCTAAATAAACCTTTCCTCCTTTAACTGTGGGTGTTGGGTAGTTTGCCTCACCAGTGAGAGAAAAGTAACTAAGACACAGGGGTTGTCTGCTGCCACCCACTTTAGAGGGGCAGAGAGCACGGGAAAAGCATGGTGGTTCATGCCTATAATCCCAGTACTTGGAAGGCTGAGGCAGGATTGAGTTGAGTCCGGCCTGGGCTTCATAATGAGATCAGAGCCAGCCTGAACTACATAGTAAGACCTTGTCTCAAACAGACAAATAGAGCAGGGGAATCATGTCAGAGTGAGATGGCCAGGTCAACAAGTAGTCTTCATCACTTTAATTGACTGTCCCCGGACAGAATCAGGACAAATGATTACCCGTACATGCAAAAATGGCTGGGAAATGTAATTTACAAGGTTCCTAGGTAGAAAACAAAGAAGGTTTTACTAAAAAATAAATAAAAATTAAAATGGTAAAGTGATAAATTAAATTTTACAATAAAATTAAGATTATTTGTAGGATTAAATAATCAATAGTCTTCAAAAATTGATTGAAGCCATTCCTGACTTCTTTCATATCCTACAATCAAATTAATTAGCAAATCGTGTCAGGTGTACCTTCACAATATATATAGGATCTGATTCACCCTTTCCACCTCCAAGGCTTCTGTCTTCTTATCCACAGTCCATTTTTAACAGTTGCCATTGTAGTCTTTTTTCTTTTCTTTGCAACACTGGACATTAAACCCAGGGCCTTTGCACTGAGCTACAACCCCAGTTCTTTTGGTTTTATTTTGAGATAGGGCCTCACTAAGTTGCTATGTTGCCCAGGATGAGCTCCAATTTGCAATCCTCCTGCCTCAGCCTTCCAGAATGCCTTCCAGAATGTTAGAGGATTACAGTCCTCTAACACTACAACCAGCTAGTAACTCTTTTAAACACCATGCCTATTTTAAACACATCAAGTCAGTCCTCAAAAGCCTCCAATATCTCTGTGGTTCCCTCATTTCAGAGGAATAGCTCACATGGCCGTATGGGACCTGCCCCAAACCTCACCCTAGTCTACTCCAAATTTCTCTGATCACGACTCTTACTCCCATCCCAACCCTCTGAGCTCCCTTTGCTCAGGCTACACAGACTTCCTTGCTGTTCTTGCATATGCCATGTGTGCTTCCTCCATGGGGCTTTGTTGTCATTGTCCATATTGTTGCTCAAGAGTCAATGAAGCTGACCCTAGTCTCTTGGTATAAAAGAGCAATATGCAATCTCCAGCCATTTTCCCTATTTTTCTCCATAATGTTTGCACCATGTGACATATATATTCTTGTTAAACTCAGCATTGCCTGACTTCTGCTGTCATAATGAGAGTGGGGATTTTAGATTCGCTAGAACAGCATCTGGCATATAGAAGGTGCTTAATAAACATTTGCTAAATGAATGGTGAATTACTGCAAACATTCTGAAACATTGAAAAATAAAGGACTGGTTAAATAAGCTGGGATAATACACTGAAGGGTCAGACAGATGAGATAGAAGCCCAAAGGAGAAAATAAAAACAGGATGTAGTTCTGTATCTCAGAGGAAGTGCTGGAAATACTAATTTCTAAAGAGGTAACAGTTATTTTTCTTTCCCAATTGGTTTCTGAAATCGTAGGATAAGGAAGTTTCTCATGATAACATGTATTGTCACATTTATCAACTGCTTTTATGGTTTAAAGGTTCTCTGTGAAGTGTATTTGTGTGTGTATTTCTGTGGTCATCTCCAAGGCTAAAAGAAGTTTTTGTTTATTTTTTAAGGACTTTAAAAAAGTTAACTTGTCCTTTGCAAATTTATTTGTCAACTTAGACTGCCATAGGAAAACACCACTGACTGCACAGTCTAAATATTTCTTTCCCATTTCCTACCTTGAGGATATGAATATAGTTTCTCTCTGGGCCACAGCTTCTGCCTCCCTTGTCTAGTTTGATCCTTCTCAAGTGAGCAGACACACGAGGAATTAGAAGGACTCACTTGGTTACTCTTACAATCTTTCTTTTGCTGTTTGACACTAATTCTTGCCACCCCTGACATATATGGACAATGCCCTCTCGATGGGAGGTGCTCAAACTTAGGATTTCTAGAGACCCATATATGAGTTCTTTCAAAAGCCTTTCTAATACACAGGATTGTGCTTTTCTTCCAAACCTACTCAGCTCTTGCATTTACTGGTATACTCAAGGGCTCTTGCTATCGGTTACTTTTTGTTGTTGTTTTTCATCCACTGCTTAACTTTTTGTATTAGTGTCTGCATGATGGCCCAAGGCTAGCTATTTTTTGTGGTGCTCACTTGGCCTACTAGAAACTCACATGTTCTCACCAAAACAGAAGTGATAGCTGAGCTACACCCCAGGCCTCTCTGATTAATCTGCCATCATTCTCCACTTTCATTTTCTTATTCACATAGACTTTGAGAAGATCAGTTAGTGAATGTGTTAATTTGATGTACAACTAGAAAATGAGACTTGTGACAGTTAAGCCTAACAATTTGATTGACTTCACAGCTGCCTAAGGGATTAGCAAAGCACACTTCTGGATGTGTCTAGGTCAGACATGGAGGCATGAGCTTGAGTAATATACAGTATCTGGTCACCCTGCCCCTCCTCTCTGGTGCTCTTGCCCTGCTCTGCTTCCTGCCATGAACTGAGCAGCTTTGCTCCGCCATGCCCTTCTGTCATGATGTTCCTGCCTAGGAGCCAGAAAATCACAGACTGAAACATCTGAGATCAGAAGTCAAATAAACCATTTCATCCTTTAAATTGTGGGTGCCAGGCATTTGGTTCCAGCAGCAGAAAGGATGACTAATATCAGGTGCTAGTTTTCCATTTTGCAGATACCTCCAGACATCGCAAGTGACTCCCTCAGAGCCCTTCTTACTTGGCTTTTTTGGGGGAGGGTGGGAGAAAGCCCCAGAAGTACTCCCTAAGTCAACAAATAATGAACCCAATAATTCCTATTTTTCTTTTCTCCATTCTCTTGGTTATAAGCCCTGGGATAATTGTGGTTTTGAGGGGCCACTCCTGGTGATTTCTTATATGGGGAACATCATGCTTTTATGTCCTCATCTTTGGACCACAGCTGTGTTTTGGATCAATGGGGAGAATTTTATACAACTTCAAGTTATAAATCCTCTACAGGCCTTTGTGTTCTACCATTTGCATTTCACTCCTTTCTTTTGTGGAGTCTGTAGAACTTATATTTTACTCTTATTAGTATCCTATGAGATGCAGGGAAGCTATCCAATTCTTCTGACAAAATTGAGACAGTTCAGGGAAGCTAGGAGTAATTAAGTGGAAAAAAATGTTACTGAGCACTAGGGATGTATATGGTGCTATTTTCAACACTATGAAGGAAACAAGTAGCCTGTGCCCATGTGTACATTTAAATAGAATGGAAACTGTTATTAAGTAATATGAACATGGTTAAAAAGTGTCATGCAAATATAGCAGAGAAAAAATAATTCCAACTAGACCATCTGAATGGGACTTTGACTGCAGTCAAGCTTGTATTTATTTATTTAATCCATTTATTTTTGTTGAATTAGGAATTAAACCCAGGGCCTTTGCACTGAGCCACATTCCAAGCCCTTTTTGTTTTTTATTTTGAAACAAAGTCTTGCTAAGTTGTGAAGTTGCCCAGGCTGGGTTCAAACTTGCAGCCTCCCAGAGTGCTAAAATTACAGGTGTGTACCACCATATTTTTCTTAGTCAAACCTTTAACCCTCTTTTTTTTTTGTAAAATGCTGTACCCTTTTCCTGATTGGCCTTATTCTCTCAGGTTTATAACTGTCTGCTGGAGAAGGAAATAAAATCCTTTGGAGCTTAAGGTAAAGCTATTTACCCTGCCCTTGGTGGAGTATCCACTCTGTAGTTTTCCTATCCTAAGAGCTAGCTTCTTGCCTTTCCAAGGTATGAGTGCAATGGAGGGACCCTACTCCAAGACTGCCATGCAATGGAGAAGCCTGGGGTGAAAGTGCATTTGGAGAGAAAGGCCCAGCCATACATTTCTTGTGAAATGTAAATTCCTGTTTAACTTGGACATGATAGTGGCCCTCAAGACTCCTTTGTAGGCATTTCCAAAACACCCAGGAGCCTTTATATTAAATACAATCCCTTAGGCCTGCTATGATATCCTAAAGTTTTTGTATTAAGCATGCGGATTACACACTGAGATTGCACCTACAAGGCAGATATAAATAGATTAATGAGTTAAAAATACAGTCTAGCGCATTGTGTGCTTCTATCTTAGTTTATTGATGCCTGTCCTTTGCTTTCCCTTCAAATAGAATTCAAGAGAGTTGTAAAAAAGCAAAAGCTTATATTTAATGGCAAATCTATGTACTAAGTGCTGATTCCATATATTTCCTTATTTAGTTATTATAAGTGCTTCAGAAGGGGAGTATATTATCTCTTTTTTACAGATTAATTTGAGAAATGAGGTGTAGAGACATTAATCTAGCCTAAGATCACCACTCAGAAGTAGTAGATTCAAACATAATTAATTTTATCTGAATACCAAGACTGAATTCCTTGCAGCACAGAGAAAAGTCAGGATTAAAACACAGTAGTTGCATTTTGATGTGCACTCAAGAAAGAAGTTATAATTTTTACAAGAACACAATTAATGAATATATTTTATATTACATAGATATCCATAAAAATATACTTCTCAGACAGACTTCAGAATTTCATATTGAACTTCTTGTCAAAAGCATGGTGCCTGGGATTTGGCTCAGTGGTGCCACCGCCTGCCCCACAAGTGCAAGGTCCTGAGTTTGATCCCTGGTACCCCCCTAAAAAAGCATGGTGTATCATAAGGAACTCTTCTTTATCTTTCTGTGTGCTTTTCTTAGATGAAATTTTATTTGTAGTTGTGCTGGATCACTATATAAGGCTCTTAATGAATCACACCTCCCTATAGCCACACCCCTTTGCATGGTCTACTGTTATATCTTCCATCAAAAGACTGAATTTATCCCCTGCTGCTTCAATGATTGGGTCCTGTGACTTATTCTGACCAAGAGCATATGGCAAGTGTAACCTTGTACATGTTCCAAAACCTTGGGCTTAGATGGCCTTGCAGCATCAGCTCTTGCTCTCCAGGGACCCTATTCTGAGACTGCCATGCAATGGAGAAGCCCAGGATGAAAGTGCATTTGGAGAGAGAGGCCCAGCCATCCAGCCTTCTCAGCTGAACCCAGTCTCCAGCTGACCCACTAGCTGAGAGCCTCTCTGCCTAAGTGGATCTCTGCAGGTGAGACTTAGCTTAGCGGAAAAATACCTGACCAACTTTTACAATTGTGAATAATAATGCGTCATTATTTAATCCATTAAGTTTTAGGATGGTGAATTCTCCCTCCTTCTCTTCCTCCCCGTCCCACCCCTCCTCCTCCTCCTTCTTTTTGAGGTAGGTTCTCACTATGCAGCTCAGGCTGGCCTTGAGCTCATTCATTATGTAGCCCAGGCTGGCCTCAAAAACACAGCAACACTCCTGCCTCTGCCTCCCAAGTACTGGGATTAAAAGTGTATGCCAAAAAAAAAAAAAAAAAAGTTGCCACCACACCCAACAGAATGATAGATTTTTTTTTTTTTTGGTACCAGGAATAGGATGGTAGATTTTTACAAAGTAACAGATGAACAGAATGTGGTAATAAAAGTGCCAAGCTACAGATGACTTCAACAGAAATTGGTACCGAAAATACAAAGCAATAGATAAATGTAACAGAAGTGGTATTGGTGTAACAAATTCTAAAATATATGGCATCGTCTTTATGACTAGGCAGCCAGCCAATGTTGGAAGACGAGAAGCCAGTAAAGCTAAAAGAGCTGAGAAGAAATTTCTGTTGGTGATTACAGAATGGGAAAGGACCAGTTCCCTGTTGCCTGTAATGTGAGACGTATGTTACTGAATGAAACTTTTATCTGCATGGCAGAAAATGCCTGTTATGAACTTTTTGATTTCACTAAAATAATTCTGTGGAGAATATAAAAAGTGACAGTGTTCTTCTTTTAGCTGTGCTTATAAGGTATTTCAAGAGAAGGTTTGTGTTTTCTATGGATGCCATAAAATATTACTACCATCTGCAGCTTAAACAATACAAATTTATTATAACTCTGCGAGTGGTAAAATCACAGTGTCACTGGGGATTTTTATGGGGAGATCTGTTTTCTTGTCCACTTGGGTCATGTGCAGGATCATTTTTTGTGGCCACAGACTGAAAGCCACATGTCCTTCTTGCTATGAGCTGAAGGTCATGCTCAGCTTCTAGAGACCACTCATATTCCTTGGTCCCCTTCTCCATTTTCTAAACCAGAAATGGTTAGTTGAGTCTTCCTCATACTTCAAGTCTCTCCTCTGAATCTCTGAACACAACTGGAAAGGGTTTTCAGCTTTTAAAAACTCATGTAATTAGGTTTGGCCTATATGGATTATCTAGGATAATCTCCTCATCCATAGGTCTCACCATACAGTCATATCTACAAACTACCTTTTGCTGTATAAGACAAAACACTCACAAGTTCTAGGGCATTCGATTGTGTGTATCTTTGGGGAGGCATTATTTTGCCTACCATGGAGGTGAGGTAAAGAAGGAGCTTTCAGTTTTTAATTGAATTTAGAGGAAAGTCGGGGATTTAGCTCAGTGGTTCTTCCACCTGCTTCCCAAGTGCAAAGTCCTGAGTTCGAGTCCCGGTACCAAAAAAAAAAAAAAAAAGAAAGAAAGAAAAGAAAAAAGAAATAGAAACAAATTTAGAGAAAATATTGAGGGCCCAGGAAACTGTTTCAGTCAGTAACAGATTTTCAGTGTACAAAATGGCTTCAGGATAAGTAAACCAGGACATGGTTGTAAAACTCTTTCTGAAGACCTCTGCAAGACTCAAGGCACTGACCTGAAGAGTTTCTCAGTGAACAAAAGAGCTTCTAAGAATCTAAAGAATCCCAAGGATGGCTGAACACAGAAGTATTCCTAATCACAAAAAGAACTATCTTGGTGGCTTCTAGGGTACAAAGTAAACCCCAATCAGAGTCACTGAAAATCTATACATTTTTAGGGGAGTTGTATTCATTTCTTATTAAAAGAGACAGAGACAGTTCAAAATGAAAGGACGCCAGTGGCTCCCAACCTTTTTTGGGCAGGAGGCAGATTGGGAAATCTACTTAGCTGGCAAGTGGAGCCATTTCCTGTAGAAAGAATGGACTCACTGGGCAAGACTGAGCCAAGAGAGCGAGCGGGAGAAAGGAAATGAAGGAGGACCAGGAAGAGAACTGTGCCCTAATAAAGGAGCACCCTGTGCTGCTGGGACCTAGGGAACCGGTAATGACTGCCCAAGTGCACTTCAGTATTCTGTTCCACCCAAGGGCTTACCTTGTGAGATCAGACAGCAGGGTGTCCAGTGCACCTCAAATTGATTTGGGTGACAAGGTACACAAAACTGGCTTTGGTGGCTGTCTTAGTCCACCTTCTGTGGGTGACAGAATACCTGAGACTGCCTAATTCAAAAAGACATTTATTGCCAGGGATTTAGCCCAGTGGTGTGGTGCCTATCTGGCAAGTGTAAGGTCCTGAGCTCGATTCCCGGTACCAAAAATAAAGACATTTGTTTTGTCTCATGTTTCTGGAATGTGGGAGGTACAAGTTTGAGGGTCTAAGTTTGGTGAGAGCCTTCTTGGTAGTGGGGACTCTGCAGAGTCCTGAGGCAGCATAGAGTACCACGTGGGGCATATATATGAGGCACAGCTTAGCTGACTTTTATAACAGATCCACTCTGAAGATAACTCATTCATCCATGAGTAATGACTCATCTCGTAAAAGCCACACCTCTTTAGACTGCACAATGGGATTAAATTTTCACATGAGTTTTGGAGGAGAATTTCAAACCATAGCATAAAGATAGCTAACTCTACTCATATATTAAACTTTGAGGTCTTAGAAGTGGGTAAGTAGCTCTTGCCCACGAGGGGAACATGGACCACTGTGACCAGAGGGCAGATGGTTGTAGATTGTTGTATTATGGCATTTAGTGAATCACATCCCTTTGCAATTCTTCCCATGAAAAGTTAGGATCTATTCCTCTACTCGCAGTGTGACTTCCTTTCACTGTGTAAAGAAGTCTTAGGGCACCCAGTTTTGCAGGAGGCAGGGTGAGAAAGCAGCTGATGGTGGAAAATGTGACAGAATGAGACAGTTTGAGGACCAGTACCTAGACCGTAAGGGTTTCCTTAGCTTCCACCATCACCCTAAGAATACTGCTTTGAGTCTGCCAAAGTGATGTGGAAAAGCCTAGAATGAAAACCATATGGAGAGAAACACCCAGCCATTCCAATTGTCCCAGCTGAGTCCAGGTCCCAGTAAACCTGCCAGCTGTGTGCTGCTGCCTGAGTAAGCCAAGGCAAGTCTGACAAAACCACAGAAACAACCTGCAGAGAATCATTGTCTTGGTCACTTTTCTCATCCCTGAGACACAATACCTGACACCCACAACTTAAGGGAGGAGTGGTTTATTTTGGCTCACAGTTTGTATAAGATTCAGTCCATAGTCCAGGGATTCCAAGGTAGGGCAGCACAGTAGAGGGCCATAGCAGAGGAAAGCTACTCATGGCACGGTGTCCAGGAAATAGAGTGAAGGGAGGAGCCAGGGAAGGCGACAAACTGTCCCAGGTCTCACCCCAGTGACCCACTTCTTCTGACCAGATCCCCGTCTTCTAAGAGCAAGTCAGCTGTAAGCCCCCATGATCCAGTCACCTTTGAAAACTCCCACCTGTGAGTACATGATGCTCCTGGGGGATATCTACATATAAACCACAATAGTTATGAGAAATAACAAGTTATGTATTAAGCTACTGATTTTGGTGTGGTTTATTATTTAGTAATAGTTAACTAGAACAACTATTTAAGTACATTATGTCTCACATATTTGTGTATACAGAGCCTTTATTTCAAAATACACATTAGCTCATCTCATGAATAGAGATGGAAAAATATCATAATCATAAAATACCTTGGATTGATGACTATTATTTATTACATAATCATAAACCAGTGGTATTATCTTAAACCTAGAATGAAGGGATACTCATTTAATAAAAGATTTTGCTACAAATATAACTTCAATATATTCACTGTCTTTTATAGTATAAGAAAAGTAACTTCCATTAACTTCATATAATTTCTAAAGTGGATAGAGAAACCATATAAAGAAGTAAAGAAAGAAATCCTTTACACTGGCAGTCCTAAGGTAAAAACAAAACCTTAGTTGTGGACATGTAATGGAATAATAAAAACATTCATCTTCATCAAAAGCTCATCAAAGAGCTGGACATGATGGTGCACACCTGGAGTCTCAGCTATTCTGGAGGCTGAGGCAAAAGGATTATTTGAGCCCAGGAGTTTGAGGCCAGGCTGGCCAACATAGTAAGACTCTGCCTCTTTAAAAAAAGTCATGAAATGTTAACTTTTTCATACCAAGGAATTTTGGTATGATACTGAGATTTTGTGGGATTTGTTCAATCACTCATTTGTCTACTTGGCAAATATCGCACACTTACTAATGTGCTAAGCACTATGCTAGATATTGGAGATATCATCATGAATAAGATACATATGTTTTCTTTTCTTTTTTTTATGGTACTAAGGATTGAACCTAGGAACTTCACAATGAGCTACATTTCTGGCCCTTTTTATGCGTTTTGAGACAGGGTCTCACTAAGTTGCCCAGTTGGGACTCAAACTTGCAACCCTCTTGCCTCATCCTCCTCAAGTGCTAGGATTACAGGTATTCCCCACCACACTCATCACAATATGTATATGGTCTCTGGTCTCCTAAAGTCAGGGGGTGGAGGTGTAAATGGGGCAATGCAAAGGCAAATACCCTGTTACACTGGGGGTGTAATGGGATGGATGCCCTGATAGAACACTAGATGAATTAGTCACACTGGCAGCACTGCAACCAAATGCCTGAGGCTTATTTAGCTTACAGTCTGGAAATTCAAATTCAAAGTCAGGTGACCCACTGGTTTTGACTCTGATGAGGGCTGCAGATAGCAATGTTGGGAACACATGTTGGAGACAATGGGCACATCATGACAGTAGAGAGAGAGGCTGAGAGTCTAGGCTCCAACAATCCCTTGCAAGGGCACCCTCAGGACCTGAGCACCTCCCCTAAGGTCTCACCTCTTATACATCCACAGCACCTTCCGATATTGCCATTCTGGGAACAAAGCCTTTATGCATGGACCCTTGGGAAATATTCATCTAAACTGTAGCACTAGAGTAATAGGATCTGTTGCTTCTTCCTATAATTTTCTTTAATTCAAGAGCCTCCAGCCTACTATACCTGTAACAATATTGTTGCTTGTTTTGTAAGTTATAGGCACTCTTACAGCGAGTGCTACATCTTGATTCTTCACTTTCTAGGTTCCTGGACACCTATACATTAACTCTTGGGTTAGTTATATTGTATGAGGAGCCTTAAATCTTGTTCTTATGCTACTGACCCACAAAAGATGCTGCATAAAATAAAACATCATTCTTTGATTTTGCTTTCGGACTTCCAGCTGGATTTTCCCCTTCAGAGAGCAAAATTAGGACACTTCTTCATGTAATACAAGAAGTACTTTCGAATATCTAAAGTCTGCTTTTCCCCATGCCCATTGGAATCTATGTCTGGGTCTACCAGCCTCCTCTTTTATCCATTTTTGATGGTGGTACCTCTCAGGCACTTTGAGGACTAAGATCATGCCCTAATGTCTGTGGTAGACACAGTAAATATTTCTTGACTGAAAGAATAATTGCAGAAAATTTATCACTTTAGACCATGTCTATTCCTATTGCTTTATATTTGGAATTGTTCAAAACTTTGATGTATTTTTGTAGCCATGTGAACCACTTTAGAATAATATGGCACACCACCAAAAAAAGAAAAAAAAAAAGAGGAAACAAGCCAAGAACTATGCTGAGCTGTTTTTTAAAAATTCCTCTTTTACTAGTAAAAGTTTATTTTAAAACATCTCAAGAAAAATTATATTATACATAAACCTCATTATTGTCTATGTGTCTATAGCACAAAAACAAACGAAATGGCAATCTGTTTTGTAAAATGAAACTTGTAAAATCTAACGTATCCTCAAAGCTTCACTAAAGCACAATTGCTAAAGAGCTACACAAGTAATGCCAACACTCATGTTTGAAAAAAAATCAATTGGGAAAATAGGGACTGTTGACACTCATGCAAAAATCTACTTTCTCTTAGACAACAGACATTGGGCAATTGCTTCCTAACAAAAGAACCCCCTCAGGAAAGCATTGATAGCAGTTTGACAGCAGTCAGCCCTTCCTCCTCCCTAGAGGAGCTACACTTGATATCTGTGTTTGCTCTACTTTTCCTGTAATCAAGTCCCAGGCCTCTTCTCTGCCCCTTTCAGGCTGCTCTTTATCCACCTTTTCCCTGGAGAAACGGACTTGCCTACCCCACCCCCATCCCATATTCCATTTCCCCGCCCCTTGGCTGCCCGGCCCCGCCCCTCCCCTCCGCAGTGCCCCAGCCGCCCTAATTTGTTCCCTTCCTCTCGTCGGGCCAGGTCCCCTCCTCTCTGCTCCCCCTGCTCCCCGCCCCGCCCTGTCTTCCTCTCCCCTCCCCGCCCCTCCCCCACAATGCCTCCCCGCCCCCGTCCCCCGCCTCCCGGCTGGTGACAGCCCGGGCCTCCCGGCGGCCGCGGCAGTGCTGGCCTCCTCCTCCGCCTCCGCTGCGCCCGGCCCGCTCCTCCGGCCTCGCCGCAGTCATGGCTGCTGATGGGGTGGACGAACGCTCGCCCCTGCTGTCGGCAGCCCACTCGGGGAATGTCACTCCCACTGCTCCGCCGTACTTGCAAGAAAGCAGCCCCAGAGGTAAGGCCGGCGGGACCTTTCTACTTGGCCGGGGAAACCCAGGGACGGTAAAGACCGGGAGCCCCAGCTTAGAGGTGGATGCGAGCCCTTTCCTTGGGCCGGTGGAGAAGGATGCCGACTGCCTCTCGAGCCTGCCTGCGGCCCGCTAGCTCCGCCGCAGGGCTCTGCTGTCGCTCCCGCTGCCGCTGGAAGACTGTGTGCGTGTATTTCACCACTACTTGCCCACGGATACTGGATGTGGCATGGCTTTCTCCAGCTCTGCGTTGCTGTTTTCAGAGCAATCCCCGAGTGTAAGCTGGGAGTTAGTGCAAATCTTTCACAATCATTTACAGATTTCTTTGGGTAGCTGTGAAGCCCAGAATACTGCTCACCTTGGCATCTGTCCTTGAAAGGACTTTAGCTTGAACAATATGCATCTCTTACATTCACCCACCGGCTTTCTGTTCAATAAGTAAATTGCCTTACCAAAACGAATATAATTAATCAATAGTCCGAATATGTCTGCAATTCCTGCCCTTGGATATTAATCCTACTCGTAAGGAGTGTGTGTGAGCTTTCGCTGCGAATGTGGAAGAAGCTTCTGATAGAAGGGAAGATGGGATATTTTTATACATATCTGGGTGAGGTTGAAATTAACTTCTAAAAAGTAACCCAAGTTAATTTACTGCATATATTTGTTTATTTTTTTAAAATATAGAATCAAAAGAGATTGAATTGAATGAGGTATGGAGAAAGAAGGGGGGGAATCTCTTTGGCAAACTACTCAATTTATGTAAAGACCTGTCTTTGTTCTAAGCCTTTTTGATGATTATACTATAGTGAAAAATAAGGTGGAGCCAGGCGTAATAGAGAATGGCAAGGAAAGTTTGAGAAGATCATCAAATATGCCACTTGCAGAGGTAACCCTAGTGCATCTCTCTCTTTTTTGGTGGAACGTGAATGAAATTTTAAAACTCAAGGAAGTAAAAGTTAACGCTATTGCAAATATAGGGAAGTCATACTTCTTGTAACACAACTTTCTCTAAATTCAAACCTGAAATTGGAGTAGCTGTAGAGCAAGTTGAACTTGTCTAGTATTTACATATTCTATGTAACACATTATAACTTGAAAATCAACTATCTAGATCTTAATCCACACTTAACAAGGAACACGACAAAGGGAAAGATGTTTAGTTATGAATAATGCAGTGTGATTGATGGCTTGAGAGGTAAGATGTAAAGTGGAACAGAAACACACAGAAAACCCATAAGTCATGTTTGTTGGTCAGCATTAATTAACACTGTATCAGAGGACACCAGGTAGGGAGTTTTCCTGGGGGGGGGGCAATTTGACTTGACTATTTCGCTGTTATCTAAATTGTTATTCATTGATTTTTTAATTTTTTTTTTTTGGTACCAGGATCTCACTCAGGACCTAGCTCTTGTGAGGCAGGCGGCGGCACCACTGAGCTAAATCCCTGGCCCAATTATTCATTAATTTTTAAATTAATGTTTCAGTTTCATCCAGTAAGTCTTTTAAAGACAAAACATTTGACAATTTTTATTAAGAGACCCAGTTTGATTTAAGAATCTATTTTCAATGCCTTCTGTTTTGGATTCCTGTTCTTGTATTTTTAGTGTGGCTATATTAAAAAAAACTAGTAACACTTATACTCATGGACCTGTGTGTAGACTTATTATTTTCCACAGATTTCTTTAACCTGATCAAACGCCTCAAACTATGCTGTAAGTGTAAGTTCCAATTCACCTGCTTAGAAAATGTTATTTCATTCTGGAATACAGGTATTTTAAACAATCAGAGAAAACAACACTAGTTCAGCAAAAAGCTTATTCTGCCTTATCATAGAATAAAATTTTAAACAGGCAGTTTTTAACACAGGTGAATGAAGCAGTTAGATAATTAGAAACACTGATCCTTCGTGGCCTAATACCTATAAAGCAAGAAGCATAAGTAAGTGAAGCCATTTTATATGCATTTTTGATGGAATATTTTTTCTTGATCCATAACAAATAACATCTTCAAAAATATTCTGAGGAATACACAAGATCTAACTCTTGAAGGCCATTGCTATTCCTTCTTTCAGTAATTTATTGGGCAGCACAATGTGTCAGACACTGCTCTAAGTGAATAAGACTGACCAAACCAATGCCCTCATGGAGCTCTTGGGGTAGGGAGAAAGGGTAAGTAAATGCATGACTGAAGGAATTTAGCTTCCAAGAAATCTTCTGCCACTAGGCTAGATGTTGTTAGTAGTTGAAAACAATTAGAATTGTTTGTTGGAATTCAAAAGACTAGAAATAGCATGTACTTTTTTTTTTTTTGTACCAGAGATCGAACTCGGGACCTTGAGCTTGCGAGGCAGGCGGCGGAACCACTGAGCTAAATCCCTGGGCCCTTAGAATGTACTTTTTAATAATGAAATTTAGTTTATAAAACTATTAATAATTACTCATAAATTTATTAAAAATAAAAAAGAGCCATAAATATATCTTCTGTCCAACCCATTGCTCTTTGTGTCACCTTCTAAGGAACTTAAATGATAGTTCTCACCTCTGTTCAAGGTTGAAGGTTTTCGTGTTTTTATTTCTAGACAGGTTATTATTAATGGAGTGGGGAGCAGTTAGCATTGTGCATCAGATTTTAGCCCAAGAAGAATCATGTGTGGTCTGGTGACAGTCTGGTGGGTTTTCTGTGGGTTTCAAAGGGAAATGCTTCTCGTCTCCACTGTCATTACTGGATTCCTGCAGAATAGAAAAAAATCCTTTCTCCTGATTATAGTGCTCTTTTTGATACACTTGCCAGCTTTTGTGTAGGCATAGGAGTGAAAATTAAAGACAGTTTAAGCTCAGTTAGAAAGAGATTTGAAAAAATAAACACAAAACTTACCCAAGTTGGGTATGTTAATTGATTACTTTATACCTCTACTAATTTTGTAGTTAAGATACGGCAAACAAATGTGACCTTTAAATTTATAAGACTTCCCCTGAGAAAAATACTTTAATATGGGGTTGTCTAGTTGTCTATACACAGTTTTGACTATGGGAATGTGATTACTATATATACTTTACTGTAATTCATAAAGGGAGAAAATACTTTGTTTTGCAGGAGATAGTTTGACGTACTTGGTTTCTTTCAGTCACACACACACACGTGCACACATACACACACAGCCAAAATTGGTGCATTAGCCAAGCTCTGTTGTAGGAAATGAAAACCATACTCTGGCTCCTCCCAGTATACTGGAAGATATTGAGACATAAATGACATATTCATCCAAACAAGTGGAAAATGCATTGGGGATGAAGACCAGGCTGAAAATGTGGCCAGTGCCTAGAGAGTATATGTTATGGTTTAACCTGACCAGAGAAGGCATTTCTGAGGCTTTAATGAGATCTAAATGTTGAATGGGAGTTAACTTGGCAAAATGGTATTGATGAGCATTCTAGGGAAAGAATGTGGTATGGGCAAATTGTTCAGCATGGTGGAGTACAGCAAGTACATGAACTGAAGAAAGTCCAGTGCAATGAGATGTATGAAAACAGAGAATGTGGTGCAGAAAGGAAACGGAGACATAGGTATGGTTGATAGCACTCAAAGACTCTCCTCTACATAACTGTGCAATCGAATATTCAAGCCCTGTCATAGTTTTACCTCTTCAGTCTGGGCTGATCTTGTGACTTAATTTTGATCTCTAGAACAAGGTAGAAAATAAGCTGAATGACTTTGGAGGCTAAGTCAGAAGAGGTTTTACAACTTTGGCCTTGGTCTCTTGTGAAGTGCACTCTGGGGAAAGTAACTTGTTGTGTAGGAAGTGGAATATCCTGAAGCTCTCATGCTTGGTGGAACCTCAAACTATCTCTGTGGAGAGAAGTTATCTGACCAGCCCTCAGACATGTGAATGAAGATAAGCCATCTTGGAAACTGCTCAGTTCAATACAAAGTGGCCGTAGCCAGATTCTTATTGCATGAGGCTGTAGGTGATAACTACCCAACTGAGGCTAAACAATTCACAGAATCGTAAGCACTAGTATGAACTTGTTATTTTGAAGCTACTAAGATTTTGTTCTGTAGCAAAAATGACCACAACAATAAATATTAGTCTATCATTTCAGAGCATTGTGGATTATGTTAAGGAATTTTGTCTTAAAGGGATGAATGGACCATGTTTATATGGTTTGATGTTTATATAAAATCACTCTGTAGACAGTGAATTAGAGGATTGGCTAGAATAGATGAGAGGGCTTACTTGGTTACTGTAATAATTCAGTACATTTAGTGAACTAGTGGTAGCTTGGATTCATGTCATGGTAGAAATGGGAGGCATGGGATGATAGTAAGGAAGTAAACTGAAAATAGGCTTGTTGATGGATGGCCCAAGGGAGTGAGAGGATAGTGGGAAGGATATATCCTAGAAACCTCCCTTTTATAACTTGATGTTGTGATTACCTAATCTAAGACATTAACCACCGGAAGAGGACCAAGTTTTGGGGAACGCAGGGGAGCATGAGTTTAGTTTTAGACATAAAGCATTCCATATATTTCAAATAGCCAAGAAGACATGTGACAATTTGATCTACAGGTGTAGGACTGAGACATAAGACTTGGGCTGAAATACAAAATTATATATTTTTGCATTGTAGTGATAGCTAAATACATGGATGCTGATTCAGAATGTTTCCCATTCCCACCCCTGTGGCATAGAATATGCAGGTGATAAAATATAATTATTTTAAGATAGTGATTTAAGCTTTCTGACTAGTGGCCTTCAGCTCTGAAAAGTAATACAAATATTATCATTTTCTCTGTGTACCACAGTGTGAAAAGGTTTGGGAATATACACGTGAGATTACCTAGGGGAGAAAAGTAAAATAAGAAGAAAAGAGGGCTAGGACAAAGTTTTGAAAAACTCCCATGATAAATGACTTGATAAGAGAAAGATGAACTTAGCTGCCAGTGAAGCAGGAGAAAAAGTAGGAGACAATAATATCATAGAATCAAA